AATGTTGTTAGTAAAGACAGAGAGTATTTAGGATTGAATTATTTAGTTTTACCCGTGCTAGTTCATAAAGCAGTATTAGAATTAAATGATAAAGTAGATAAACTTGAAAAAGAAATTAAGGAATTGAAAAAAGAAAAATCTAAATAATAATATATAATGGGTATTGGTCAAAGTAAAGACGATGAAAATAACAGTATGGAAGACATTAAGAATTTAAGAGTAGATGAAAAAACGAGAGCGGATACTTTAATAATTAAATCTATTCAAGAATGTGTATCAAGAATAGAAAAATTAGAAAAAGAAAAATCAGACAAACTAATATATAAATTACCAAATTTACAGTTTTGCAACGCTTCATTAATTTAAATCAAAAACATTAAACAATAAATTTAATGTTATTGATTAGTTATTTTCAAATAATGTGAAAACTTCTTCATAAACATTTTATCGGGGTTCTTTTCTAAAAGGTTAATATATAAAAAACTATGTGGTTCATCAGTGGCGGTCTCATAGATTTTATAAATTAGTTTCTTGCTTTCGTGTAAATTATCGCTCCTAACAATAGCAGACATCTCATCTTGTAAAATTTCAATCTCTTTGAAGTTTCTAACTTTATAATAGAATAAATGACTTATATTTACTCTAATAATAGGTGGAACAGTTGTTGATTTTTGAAGACTGACAAGCGTTGATATTCCACTGTGGCGACCTCTACAAAATAAAGAATTTAACAATTTGTTATTTCTTGTTATTGCTGGATTATCAGATACATCATCCAATATAACTAATATATTAAATAACTTCTTCGTTCCTTGTTTTTTCTGATATTCAATTATTTTATTTTGAGTTTCTATAACTCTTTCTAAATCTTCAACATTGAACTCATCCCACCAACACGGTTCTTTATCAGTATCAACTTTTAAACCTTCTTTAATGTATTTTTTAACAGGCAACCAAATGCTATCCAAATTTACTGACGGGGACCAGATAAAAATTCTTTCATATGCTCCTCTATAAATATCAAGTATCATTGATACAAGTAAAGTTGATTTTCCAGAACCTGATGGTCCTACAATCATCGCTCTCATCGGCAATTTAGGGACGACCTCGTGCTTACTTTGCTTAAAATCATATTTGATTTCATCAATTGGTTTTACATCAGGCATAATAAAACAATATTATAAATACTTATAAAAAAATAATTATATTTATTATTGTATGAAAGCATTGCTATGATATGGGGATATCATAGTAGAACAGGCTCTTTCATCAGCTTTAATCATAAGCATTGAAGCTAATTAGTTTGAATTAGTTTAAGCCCAGCTTACGTGTGCAGTGAAGAGCCCCATTACCCCGAGGAGAAGAGAAGATGGCGAACCCCGAGTATTCTAGATAATAAGATTAATTTTAATAATTTATCTTATTATTTAATATGGACGCTTCGGCAAGAAGCCTCGCGAAGCTTCGCGACAGGAGCTATTCAGATTATATTGATATAATTGATGAAGTTGAGAAAGTGGAACAACTTGTGATAACTGATAATAAAACTAAAAAATGTTGTTATTATTCGTTAGAATTAATTAAGCTTATTTTTGAATATATCAAAAATAAAAATGTAAATATTAATATAAATGGGAAGAAAGAAAAACAAAAAGAATAAGACAGAAACAACGGTTTCATCAACAGATGAAGACAGTGAAGAAGTTATTAATAAAACAGCAGTTATTGAGTTTGCTTGTCCAATGTGTCAAAAGATGTTAGAAATGAAAAACGAATTAGAAATACAAAAGAAGGGAAATTGTAAATGCTCGTGTGTCCCTGTCGGTTTTAAGATAAGTAAAACTGACAAAAAAATGAATATTGATAAAAGTAAAGACGGTGATATAAATTTAGAAACAGATGCACATAATATTGCTATACGCTTTGGGAGGAATGTCACCCCATCCGATAATGGTGAAAACGAAACACAGGAAACCATAAGAGAAATGATGAAACAATAATATATAAAGAGTAGATTTAACACCACGTTAAACGCATAAATAAATAAATAAATAAATATATATATAAATATATATGTCAGATAGTGATAATGTGTCATTAAGTGAGTTGATAAAGAAGGTAAATATGTTGAATAAGAATATCAAGGCATTAACAGATTTAACAACAGCAATTGATGAAAAGTTTCAAGCCAAGATAGCAGATAATGTTGATGAGAAGGACGCCTCGCCAGAGGCTCGCGTGCTTCGCGACAAGATTGATAAGATTTTTCAAAAGAAAGGCTTAGGCAGACCAGCTGGGAGTTTTGATGATAAAAGAAAGAAATACTGTGAAATGATTAACGACAATAAAATCAAGATGCCAAGACAAGAAACCATTGAATATTACAAGCTGGTTAAGGATGCGAACGGCAAATATTCCTTAGATTAATTTCTAAATAATTCTAATAATATGTATTTATTAGAATTATTCTCAGGTAGTGGAAGTGTTGGAACGATTGCGAGGTCGCTAGGTTTTAATGTAATTTCGTTGGACTTGAAGAATGCTAACATCAATACTGATATTTTGAAATGGAATTACAAAGAGTTTGACAAAGGGCATTTCGATTTTATTTGGTCTTCTCCACCTTGCACGGAATACAGCAGAGCAAAAACAACTGGCATCAGAAATATTGAATATGCTAACAGTATTGTTTTAAAAACTCTGGAAATAATAGATTACTTTAAACCTAAATACTGGGTAATTGAAAACCCTCAAACTGGATTGTTGAAGATGCAACCGTTTATGAGTGGTTTGAAGTACAATGATGTTGATTATTGCAAATACGGTTTTAATTATAGGAAAAGAACGAGGTTGTGGAATAATCTTGACAAATGGAACCCCCGAAGTTTATGTAACAAGGATTGCGGTAAAATAAGGAATAACAAACATATTGAAACAGCCCAGCGAATGCCATCAGGAAGGAAGGAAAGTTGGGGTGATAATTATGTTAAACATAAACAGGAAGACCTTTACAAAATACCTAGTGAGTTGATTTGTGAAATCTTGGTTAGTTTGACAGAGTAAGTATTATTTCCATTTTTGAGCTGGTTTATTTCTGGTTATGAAATGTTTGTTGCTGTTTCTGAAATGGAGACAAAATTGAAATGTTTTGTTGCGTTTCCTGAAATGTATTTTCCTTCTAAAAATGACCAACTTACGAGGTATTTCAATTTCTGAAATGGTTTGATGCTGTTTCGGAAATGGTTTGATGCTGTTTCGGAAATGGTTTGATGCTGTTTCGGAAATGGTTTGATGCTGTTTCGGAAATGGTTTGATGTTGTTTCGGATTTTGTTGGTGCTATTTCGGATTTCGTTGGTGCTATTTCGGATTTCGTTGGTGCTATTTCGGATTTCGTTGGGGCTATTTTGGATTTCGTTGGTGCTACTACTGGGGGGCTGTTCTTGTTTGAGGTTTTGCTTATGCTCTTTGAAAAGAAGCTTTGGAATGTTTCGTTGGTTGGTTGTTTTGGAATGTTCTGTGTTCTGTTCCTTGTTTGGTTTTTTGGTTATGCTCTTTGTTGTTGGGGGTTTTTGGATAAGGGGACTTCAACCCACTTCGGTAAGCATTTTGCCTAAAAACGGTTTAAAGGGTAAGTGGCTTATTATAGTAGAAGATTATGGATAAGACATATTGCTCGGGGTGTGGACGCTATAAGAATTACAGTTTATTTTCAGATAATTGTAAAACTTGTGATAAATGCCGTGAAAAGCAAAGAAGGAAGTCAGAAATAAAGAAATTGAAAAGAGAAGCGATTAAGAAAGAAACAGTAGCAGATGAAGGGGAAAAACAATGTTGTTCTCATTGCCGAGTTCATAGAAAGATTGAATTATTTTCAGATAATCATAAAACTTGTGATAAGTGCCGAGACAAGCAAATAGTATATTCAAAAACATACCGAGACAACCATAAGGAAGAAATACGAGAAATAAACAAAGAATACGGACAGAGAGAATATCATTGTTCTGTATGTGATTGTGAGATTAAATTAAAGCACAAGGCACGGCACGAACGAGCAAGGAAGCACATAGAAAATTTAGAAAAGAATGAGGTTAAGGATGTTTGAAATGGTTTAAGTTATTCTATAAAATGAATAACTCAAAGCATTTTGATTATGAGGTTGGTTAGGCACGTGTTATGAAACTTATATGGGTTTTGATATGGGTGATTGGTATGAAATTTTATAAAATCTTGGGGGGCGGGTCTGGCTGATGGGGTAGGAAAGAGGGTTGTAGGGCTCCCTCTTGCTGAAACGCGGCTTTCAGCGGCAACTTGTGCTCCAAACCCCCCTTCCGACAGGCGACGGCAAAAGCCTGGCAAAGCAACAGCAAACCAGCGCAAGGACGAGAGAGAGTGATGGTCTGCCCTGGCTCAGCTCGATGCACTGTTTCTTTTCTTTTTTTTGTCTGGTGTTGTTGCCTGGCTGCGCAATGGGGCTAGCACCCAAACAAGAAAGCAAAACTGGTTGGCTTTAAGACTTTGCCCCCCCAAATCATCGAACAAGCTTCCAGTTGTGACGCGGATTTGAGTACGACTTCATTTTGCCTGCCTTGGCAAGAGGAATCTTCTTGAGTCCTTCACTTTGGATCCTGGTTTTGTCGGCCATTCCTCTCGAGGTTTGTGCAGTCGTCAGCAAAGATAGTGCCTAAATCAACAGTTGAATTTGATAGGCGTTGGCTTGTTCATTTGCAAGACAATCAAACAGACACGTTCCAAGCCAAACATGTCCATGCGTGTCGCAACCTCTTGGGATGAGTTTGAAAGGAGCCAATGAGGGCTCCTAGAAGTTTGGAGGATTTGGAGGGCTCCTAGCCGAGCGTTGTGACACGCGGTCGTTACAATATGACAAACTTTCATGACCCGACCGCCTACTCATATTGTTTATGCTTGTGTTTACACGGCAATACTCATGTTTCTGTCAAGATTCGGACCAGCAAAGATCTTTGCCGGTTTCGCCACAGAGGCCGGGGCCATCGTCGGCACTTCTGGCTTTCTGGCTCCACTGGTGGCAGGCCCCGATTTGGGAGGGTCGTAAGGCGATGCGCTGCACAGCTGTGGGCTTGACTTGATGTTGGTTTGCTCATCGAGTAAATTTGGTGTATCTATGAATGAATCGATTTTCAGTTTTTACATCATGTCCTGGTCTCCGATGGACAGGCCTGCCGCTTCGGGCCTGCTGGCGGGTGTTGGGCTGGAGCCAGGCACGGAGAAAGTTGAGCGGGCTTGCGGCAACTTTACTGGAGTCTGCCTATAGTGGGCTTGATGCTGCAGCTTAAAGTGAGAGGTTAGCTCAGAGGTACAGTTTGCAGACTGGAGTAAGATATTTTGGTTGAGGTTAAGATAGAGGTTGGAGTTCGAGTTGAGAGTTAGAGGCTAGCGCTAGAGCTTGGAGGTAGAGATCAAAGTTAAAGGTTCAGGTCAAAGTTCAGTCAAGGCAAATACATACCAACACCCCATGTGCCCCCTCAAACTCCTCCACCCAATCACTTTAGAACACACCTTTCCCCTTTTACGAGTAAAAGTGGCTTTGACAAAGGGGTCGGCAGATGTCGTGGCAAGCCAACCTATGGATCAACTTGAGGTTGTGTCCACCCCGGGAAGAGCGGAGACGATGTTGGTTGCTTGGGGTTCTTGGTCGTGTGAAGGGGTGCCCAAAACAAGTCATTGTTTGAGCCCAAGATCCAGATCAGGTAAAGCTGACTGACCCACACTAAAAATATCAAACAGCGGAAAGCGCCTTTCAAACCTGTGAGCAGTGCAGAGAGAGGGAGAGAGAGAGAGAGAGCGAGAGAGAGAGGATTTCAAGCTGTGCTTCTAGCCTTTGCATCACTTGTTCTACAGACCTGAGAACAGAATCTTAAACTTTAGACATTGGGGTAATGGAGGAAAGCTGGAAAGTGAACAAGTCTTGTTACATACTTCCAACCGTCACTGTACAATGTGAGAATGAATCGTTTGGCCTCAGGAGCCCTTGCTTCAGGAGATTTGGAGTCAGGCTCTCAGTGAACTGGAAGGAAGGCAACAATCCCCTTCAAGCTTCTCGGAAATCGAAAAGTCCTTGCTTTTTGTCATCCCAGCAGAGAGTTGAAGGGGCTTGCGTTGGCTCAGCGTGAGGATCTGATAATTTGAACAATGAACGCCGACCTTAGGGAGCCATGGCTTGTCAACAGTAGTTGGCGGTTTTCACAACTCAGGCGCCCCCCGGGGCGTCCTTTTCGCGGCCTTGGTGGGGGCCTGGTGCTGCGGCACCTGCCGCGGGCCCAGTGCGGCAAGTCTCTGGGGTATTTAGGCGGTCTTGGTCTCTTTATAGTGTCGAGTTTAATTGTCGTAGTGTTTCTCCGTGTGTGTGTGTGTGAACCGTCCTGGAACACGGACGTTAAACCCTTCGGAGTTTTTCTGAGCAGGGGCGTGCAGCACCTTTGGCATACTGCACGCAACGAAGCTACTGCCAAAGGTGGGAAGGGTGTCCAGACGTGGGCACCTGTACCTGCAACATTTGATTGACTCTGAAAGTCTCTTTGACCCTCTTCTTTTGCGGTTCCTGTTTGTCGCTGTTGCTTCCTGTTCGGTGTCGATGTTGTGACCTGTTGCTCTGCATTTGCATTCAAGCATTTTTACTGACTGCGGTTTTCATCTCGGCTAGTGAAGCCTCTCGAGATAAGTGTGTTTACCCACGGCCTGTCCGACATGGCGCTGTGGGCTGGACTCGCCATATGCGGGAGCCCCCTGCAAGGGGATGACGTTCAAAAGTTCACGTTCAGTTCACCTTCGCATTGCACTGCCTGCCTTTTGAACAAGGCAGCTCTCATGAGGTATCAGGCTCCGCAGCTTCATTCGCATTGCACTGCCTGCTTTTTGAACAAGGCAGCTCTCACAAGGTATCAGGCTCCGGAAGCTTCATGCGCAAGTGACAAGCCGGTCAAACACCGACTTTGCAGTTCATTGATTCACGCACTGCGCCGACTCAGATCAGTTCAATTCACGTTCACGATTAGGGGGCACCTTGACTTGATTTGACGACTTGATTTGACACCTTGACTTGATTTGACGCGATGTCTTGCCTTGACATGCATGACTCCACAGTCGTTTTTGTTTCCACCCCCTTTCCAACCCTCTCTCTCCCTTTTGAGATGGTTGGACACCAGCTCTATGACATGATGCACTCGCTCCTGCAAAGCATTGCGGCCGGCGCCGTGTCCGGCTCACCTGGCAGCGGTGGACCGAACCTGCAATTGTCACCCCAGATGATGCAGCCCATGAGCCTCGCACCTCCAACCAACCCACAGACCATGCCCTTTGCACCGTTTTCCATGATGCCCTATGGTGGCCTCCCAAACTTTGGCAACCCGATGTTCCTTGATGCCCTACGGTGGCCTTCCTAACTTTGGCAACGCGACATCCGGCGCCCTGATGCCCCTCATGGCTCAGAACAGCATGCCGTCTTCATTGCCCGAGCCTCAGCCGGCACGCGCAGCCGCTGCAGCCGCTACGACTCCTGCCGCCGCTCCCTTGACCAACCTACATTCCACGGGCACTTGCCCCCAGTCCCACTCCCGCAGATCCCGTTCCCGCCACAGGCGACACCGCCACTCGCACTCCCACACCAGCCATCACCGGGGACACGACAAGGCGCCACGGCGACACACCACCCACCACTGGTTCAGGCGATCGCACCGCAACCCCATCTCCCTCCGCTCACGCTCCCCCCGACGCAGGTCCTCCCCACGACACTCCCCCGCACCCAAGACCACGGCTCCACATCGAGCCCCGCAAACCCACACCTCCCAAGGTTCCACTTCCTGGCGCACTTCCGGATGGGACACCTCTCCACGCTGGTGGAACCAATCATGGGGACACCAACCGCAGAGCCACAATGCAAGCAGCTGGGGCAAGCGCCGCCACAGCACCAGCAACACAGGCAACTGGAGCACAGTCCTGGCCACAGCAGCATCCTAGGCACCAACCGCAACCCCCATCCCGCGCTGGCCACAACAACGCCAGCATACCCCCTTCCCCTGCACCTGCACCGGCTTTCCCCACCCTCCTCCCCGCCACGCACCTCCCCACCCCTCCCCCCAGCACCCCTTGGATGATGCTGAAGACCTGGATCCCCCTCCGTCGGAGGCACAAACTCCGACAACCGGTGGCTTGATCTCTGGCGAAGCGTCATGACACAGCCAAGACTGACCCAATGCGAGTTCCCACGCCTAGGGAGTTGGGGGAGTTGGACCCGCTTCCAGCCTTGGAGCCTGGACCCTGCCTTGCCACCGTCACATGCCGACCTCCTCGCAGAATGCTGGGAACTGTGAGCCCATAGCGTTCGACCCCAGCTTCTACCATCTCCTGCGACGGGAATCACATGGCATGGTGTTCGCAACCACTTGGTTTGCCCAACCACATCCCTGGCCGGTCGCTGGTGGGCAACCGGAAGCCGGATCCGGCACAGCTTCCCATCACGCTGTCATGTATGTACACGGCACCACCCCGGATCGAATGCGCCGCATGTCCTTTGAGAACATGATCCGGCCTGCTGCATGGAGACCTGAGAACCATGACTACCAGAGCTTTGGATGCTATGCTCAGGCCACTCCCGCAGCCTGCAACCCCGACACGTTAGGCCAGCTTTTGCAGAACTTCACCATCGGAAAGTCTCAGCTTGGGGCCATCGCCTTTGGGGAACTGCGCTCCGTCAATCAGCACAAGATCTTGGAGTCCGGGGGAAGCCACGAGCGCAACGTGCGGCGCCACTTTGCATGCCGCAGAGGCAAGAAATGGTGCATCCACTCCAAGTATGCCATGCTGAGAGGTGTCGCGCTGCAGCGCCCGGCGTAGCAGGGCGCGAACCGTACCATATTCCATTTGACCAGGAAAAGAACTGATGCACGGTTTGTTCGCTTTGTTGCCTTTTCTGTGACCGATCGTTTGCCATGCGACCCTTCCTTTTGGTTGCCGTTTGCCAGCCTCTGGTTCGAACTTGACTCCTTTCCCTTGAGTTTTCACATGGCTTTCCAACCCCCTCGAGGCTTGTTACCGATGCTCCATAGGCAAAACTATCCACAACAACCTTCACCCGCTGCATCCAACCACCATGGCAACATGTGCGGCAACAACACGGCCGGAACCCCGTGCGGGGCCTGTTGGGACCTTGCTATGGATGCTCCTCTACGACCTGGACACCACCGACTACACCTCCAACCCCATGCCAACCCCACGACCACCCCACTTCCCACTTCCATCCACCCATTTTCCCCCTCCTCCCCCCGGCAACTTCACCCGCGGCCCCCCTCCCTCCACCGCCTCGAAGGCCACCACCCCTCCTGCTCTTCGCCCCCTCCACTCAGTCCCAACACCAGCAGAGTTCAACCCCGACGACGATCACTACGACACCACCCGCGTCGCAGGGTACGACCTGCCCAAGGTCATAACGCATACTGCGTTCACCCGGCAATTGGGCATTGAGGGACAAGACATCGCTCGCGTTTCCCTCCTCAACTTCCTGCACGAACAGTGGAACAGCTGGTGGTTGCGCCACCTCGCCCATGGAGGTGAGGCACGCATCGTTGTCGCAAAGTCGATGCCGGAGTCAGTCTTCGCCGCTGGGCTACTCAGCCAAATCCGACAACGACATCTTGACTTGGATGCCCTCGCTCTTCACGTCGCTACACAGGAGGGCACCTCGACCACCAAACCAGCAGCCATGAAGCTACTAACCAGCAAGATCTTCCCTACGACCCACCACTACGACTGACCCAGCTTCAGCTGCCACCATCCTCCAGCTCCAGCAACAGCTTGCCGTCGCACACAGCCAACTCGCACAGCAAGCACCATCCCCTTCACCTCCCCCTACACCCACATCATCCGGCAAACGCCCGGCTGACCCCTCTCAGGCCTCCCTTCTGGACTTCGGCATGAAGTGGCCACGGCTGACCACGTCTGACACCCCACTGCCTGACGATTCCCCCGCCCTCCCCCTCCCCGCTCGCACCGCTGACGACTCCCCTTCTCCCCCAACCCCCCACCCACAACGGTATTTCCATGGCCCCGGCACCCCGGCGGCTTCTCCCCTCCCCTCCCCGCCCACCTGGAAGGAGCCTTGGGGCGTACCAGTGCGAACCCTATCCAAACTAGGGTCATCGGCCCTGGGCCGCATCCTGGCCGCTGCAAGCCACTTCTACCAGTGACTCTCAACAGCACACCGACAACGACGCACAGCCAAGCAACACAATTTCTGGCAACACCACTGCCGCCAATTTCTCGCTGTCCTCCGTTTCACTCTCCGGTTCTTCCCAACCGACGACGTCACCGCACGTCATTTTTGTTCCTGGCTACTCGCACAGCTTCAGCTACTTGACGTTTGCCATCTCTCGTGTGGGCTCTGGCCAACTGAAAGCCCTGCTTGCCCGACTCGGCCTGGATTCCCCCGCTTCTGACTTCTCATCTCAGCGTGTCCCTTCCGCGGTTTATCTGAGATTCACCAGCCATCCCAAATGGCAAACCTTTTTCTAGGTCGGTGCAACTCGCACCTCTCTCATGGCTCGGGATCACAGCCGATTCCGCAAGCTACTCCAGGTTCAACGACACCATTTGGTCAACGCCGAGCTGGCCGTTCGATGGTGGGCGCATTTCGATGTTTTCCACTTTTACGCTTCAGTGCCCATCCACATTGCCGTCCCAGCAACAGACCTCTTCGCTACTGAGCAGTTCTACATTCAGGAACTGCAACCGTCTCTCAATTTTGGCTTCATCGAGAGACATTCTCGGCCACGCACGGGCTTCATACGACAATTGGACTTTTCTCAATCCCGGCACATGGGCTTTGCCACCATTTGGCGGAAGCGTCGCAGACTACGACTACCAATCGCTCTGCAACAAGCTTTCCTTGCCAAGCGTATGAGCAACCGCCTGGACTTGTGGCGCCTTTTGGGCGATCTTGGCAGCAACACCCTACGACGATTCGATGCCATCCGTTACATACGGAGCAGGGACTTCCCACACGCTGCCCTATACATCCTTCATCGCATCGCTGCGCACTTGCCTGAACCACACCACCAGGCATGCATCTCTGCCATTCGATCTAGCCTGCGCTTCCGGGGCCTTATCCCACCCGGCCCCTCCAGACCGATGCTTGCGCCTTTCTTCGCACATCCCTCCTTTCGGACTTTGCTTTTGACCCAGCTCCGCGGGTTTGTCAGATCCACCACCCGCAGTGCTCTACCGTTTCATGTGGCGCAACCACGCATCGTTTTCAAGGCACACCGGAAACTATCCAGTGCCTTGTTCTCACACCTCCAGGCAGCTCAAACCTGGAGTCTCGGCGAGCTGTCCTGCACATGTACCGACCTCGCCAAGCGACACCCATCCCTCCCGAAGCATGAGGGACACCTTCTTTTTTCCGGCTCCGACACTCATGAGTTGTTCGACCCCGACATAGTCAGCATGCTTTCTGGTTCAATGCGGAACTCCTTCTTTCCTCCACGCGGGGTCTTGATGAATCGTCTGACTCAGGCGTTTCACCACTGGGCCAGGACCAACAACCTGCCCTCGCTCGATCCATCAACCCTTTCCACTCTTGTCGATTTCCATTTCGACCTCCGCCGTCCTCACACACCACAGTACTTTCTACATGCTCATGTTCAACAGGCTCTAACAACCCTGGAGCCCCTTGTCCGCCATTGCGAAGATCATGCGGACTCCCGACTCATGCTCTATTGCCCCGCTGTGTACGGCAAGATGCTGGACGCCACATTCACGGATCCTGCCATCTTTGCTCCCTTGCGAGTCCCCTCCATTGAGATCCATCAACGGCAACGAGAAAGCATTGTCAGCAGATTCCGCGGTCGCTATCCATGGGCCGTGACCGGCTTCGGACGGCCAGCGACTGCCTACATCCTCCCCAAGAGGAAGAAGAACTGGACCACTGCTCAACCCATCATCAGCTTCGTTGGCGCCTTCTTCCGACCCATGCTTGACGCTCTCGCCAAATTGCTCCACAGCATGGTTGCCACGGCCTGCCCAGACGCATTTTCGGGTGGCGACCTCTTCGATCTCATGCGGTCTTTGCATGAGTTTCTCTGCCTCGGCCACACCCCTCTAGACTGTCGAAACCAGGACCTTTCCGGCTTCTTCAGTTCCATCGACAAAGGCCGCTTCTTAGCAGCCTGGCGTCTACTTTTGACTTGGTACCGACAGCGGCAACCACATTCCACCACCCCACGCCTCACTGTGGACACACTTGACACCTCTTCCACCACCCGCGTCTTACAACGGACGCCGTCGCCGACACAAGCCGGCGCAACGCACTCTGTGGCTTGACGACATCCCCGAAATCATCCAAGCTACCCTTGACATGCAGATCTTTTCTGTCGGCTTCCGTTCCTTCAGGCAAACACGCGGGGCCCCGATGGGATCCCCCGCATCCCCTCCTTTATGCCTGATGGTAATTGCGGTTGCCGAGCAAATTTGGGCCAACACCCATCCTACTTCGGGACCTCGCTCCTTTGAGGACACCCTCTTACTCCGCTATGTGGACAACAGGCTCGACTCCTAGATGGTTTTCGACCCCGGCAGCCCACATCTTGTGCGACGAACACTTCTACGGAGGAGACATCATTTTGGAGACAGAAGCCGCCCTGGATTTCTTGGGTTTTCGACTGGACCTTCTCCTTCATCCCCTCGTATGAGAAGCACAACATGCCCTCCATCAAATCGGCCGCACCAATGATGCACAAGGAATCTGGATATTACTCCAGACGCACGCTGATCAGCCGGTTTTCCTTTCCTGAGTTTCAGCGAGATCACGATCTCGCATTGTTGACGAAGTTGTACCACCAACACGATTTCACCTTGCAGAAAGAAGGAAAAACGTACCGGCCTTCCTTTGCCACTATTTGAGATTGCGCCCACTTTTTCACTCTTTGCCCACCGGCAGATCCCCACATGACCTGTTTTCACACCGCAGCTGTTTGACATAACACCTTTTGCGATCATGGATCCTGACACAGCACGCCAGCTGCTTGAAGATTTTGAACTCATCATCGGCATTGCCCAGCAAGGCTTCGCCACCATTCGCGAGTTCGCTGAGGGTCCGGATTTTGCACCGGAAGCTCCACTCATTCTCACCGTTGAGGACATGGCCATTTCACCACCTACACCTCTCCTGACCCCCCCCGATGATCTTAATGAACAACCTCCTGAAGATCCTGGCGAGCAACTTCTCGCCGATCCTGATGAACAATTTCCTGATCATTGGACCCCACCCACTCTACCGTCTCCCCCTGACAAAAAGCGAGCTCGTCGCACACGTGACAAGACCTCCTCACGCTCTACGGCATCCAAACCTCCCCGTGGACAACGCGAAGCTACCCCATCGACCAGGACTGATGCCGCTGCTGAGGCTGATCCCGAAGCCCCGCAACCTTGGACTGAGGAGGAGATTGATCTCCTCCGTTCGCTTAAGATCAATACCAAGGCCAAGCATGCGTGGTCTGTCATTGCCACGAGACTTTCCCGCACAGTCGAAGACTGCAAGACTCAATGGGCCTTGCACAAGTGAGCTTGCCCCACTCGGGGCCTTGTGTGTGTGAACCGTCCTGGAACACGGACGTTAAACCCTTCGGAGTTTTTCTGAGCAGGGGCGTGCAGCACCTTTGGCATACTGCACGCAACGAAGCTACTGCCAAAGGTGGGAAGGGTGTCCAGACGTGGGCACCTGTACCTGCAACATTTGATTGACTCTGAAAGTCTCTTTGACCCTCTTCTTTTGCGGTTCCCGTTTGTCGCTGTTGCTTCCTGTTCGGTGTCGATGTTGTGACCTGTTGCTCTGCATTTGCATTCAAGCATTTTTACTGACTGCGGTTTTCATCTCGGCTAGTGAAGCCTCTCGAGATAAGTGTGTGCGTGGCTTGTGTTTTGTGTTGTTGGTGTTGTATTCCTGCTCGCCCGCTCGATTGCTTGGTGCTTTGATCGCTTGCCCGCTTTGGCTTACCTTCCAAGGGCTGGGTTTCGAGGCCAAATGCAAAGGTCATGTGTGGGACCTGAGTTGCTCCGGAATGGTATTCTGTTGTGCGACGCAAAGAAGGGCAATCGAGCCTCCTTTGGGCAAGCCACGCCGTTTTCTTTGGAATTTCAATGTCATGCCATGTCATGCTATATCCTATTATGTCATGCAGCATCCTGCCATCCTGTCACTTTACGAGATAGGTGTGAAACCACAGACGATGCGACGTGCCATGGCGCTGCGTAACATCTGATGTTGCCACTCGAGGTCTTGCTCTATTGGCGTTCGGCAAATTCGTTTATTGCGTTAGATGTTGAGCGCTAGTCTGATATCACGCGCGTTCATACTATGTGTACCCGATGTTTTGATGAGATGATAGATGTAGTGATGTGCTTTGCTTTGCAGTGCATGGTGCTGTTGCTGCCACCCTGTTGAAGCTTCGAGTGCAGGTGTTGCCTTACACTTCTCGGTTCCTTGGGACATCCTCAAGCCAAGTCCTTGAATCGGGAGTGTTTGTGCACAGCATTTGACTTCTCGGATGGGGCGATGTTTGTCTGATTTGTGCCCTGGCCGAGGCTTCGTGTTGGGCGTTTGGCGCCGGCCCCCAGCGAAGTCGGGGTCGGGGTCTGGTTTGTGGGTTGCGAGGAACGCCAGGTTTCGTGGGAATCATGGCAATTAAGGGCTTCGGGTTGTCTATGCTTGGGCCGACAGTCAAGTCAAGTGCAGGAAATGATGTGAACATAGACAAGCTAGGTGATTCATGCTACTGTTGCGGGTGATGCAGATTATTCTGGTGATGCTGATCATGCTGGTCATGTTGGTGATTTGGTGATGTAGCTTGTACCACTTCAGCCTGCGGTCAAAGAATAAAGAACACCAAGAGCGAACCTCGGTTCCAAGGTGGTACATGTGTGCTGAAGTGTGGATTCTCGGTCACAAACGAGGTCGGACTCCACCAAGCAATGCCTGCTTTGGGTCGGACCTGCACGCGCGCAGGTTTGAGCACACCGTGTTTGTGCGCGTGGGCTGCCTCCTGGTGCCGTGGGTTGCAAGGGTGAGGGTGAGGGCACCAACCGCAAGCAGGTTCATGTCTTGGCACGTATCTTCAGGTCATCCTTTACGGTTCAGCTTGATGCATGCAATTGGCTCCGAGTATATCTTTGTTATAAAGTTGCTTTGCCAGAGTTCGTTTCAGACCAACCACGACCAATACAAGCAGACTGGATCGCGGTCAGCAAGTCAACCGCTTCTTTTCCTGGGCTAAGCAACGCAAACATGGCTCCTCAATTCAATGTGGTGCCAATGCCGCGACTTTCGAATCTCTGGGAGGTTTTGAACGCTTCCGTCTTCGGGCTGCTGGCTGCTTACAGCTTCATTCGCTTCGTGTCGCAGGCGATGGCACGAAACGCGAGAGTGGACAACAAAAGCCCAGCGTAGAAGATATCACCTATCATGGAGACCAAACAAGTCAAAAAATGGCAAGGGCTGCCCCGCAGGAGGTGATGAATCCCTAGTAAAACGGGACAACCCCTACAGTGAATCAACCAGCAGCTCTTGCAGACCTTAAGTGCAATGACAAGTCGAGGGATCCTGTTGCCGCGAGGCGCCAGAGCCGGAAGAGTCCCAGGCACCGAACGTGCTGGGTCTGAGAACGATACGAGACCAAATCCGAGAAAAAGGGGATCTGTGTGTAGCTGGCGCACGGACTAGGCTGCTGCTTTCCTTCTCTGGCTTTACATGACGGGTGACAGCCACTTTAGTGCCGGGATCGGTACGAGTCCCAAATTCGGAGTCATGACCCTGTTTCTTAAGACAGCATATCTTGGTGCCGTGTAGGGACAGGATGTGAGAAGGGCTGGGATGGTCGCTACGAAATTGAGGCTGGGAGGGGGCAGGTGACCATGCTTCAGAAGTTTGAGAACATTGAGGTTGATGGGCCTCTCAGCAGCAATCAGCAAAGCAGACTCGTGACTGGTAGTCTGTATGAAGTAAGCAGGCTGCTCGGTTGGCAGACGTTTTGTAGTTCATCTTTCTCTTTCTCTTTCCTTTTTTTGCTTGCTCTTTCTCTTTCTCTTTCTCTTTCTCTTTCTCTTTCTCTTTCTCTTTCTCTTTCTCTTTCTCTTTCTCTTTCTCTTTCTCATTCTCTCTGCCTCTCTCTGCCTCTCTCTGCCTCTCTCTGCCTCTCTCTGCCTCTCTCTGCCTCTCTCTGCCTCTCTCTGCCTCTCTCTGCCTCTCTCTGCCTCTCTCTGCCTCTCTCTGCCTCTCTCTGCCTCTCTCTGCCTCTCTCTGCCTCTCTCTGCCTCTCTCTGCCTCTCTCTGCCTCTCTCTGCCTCTCTCTGCCTCTCTCTGCCTCTCTCTGCCTCTCTCTGCCTCTCTCTGCCTCTCTCTGCCTCTCTCTGCCTCTCTCTGCCTCTCTCTGTCTCTCTCTGCCTCTCTCTGTCTCTCTCTGCCTCTCTGCCTCCCTGCCTCTGCCTCTCTTCCTGCCTCCAAGCAGAGGAAGAGCCACAAGTTTCACTTGTTGGTTCTTCTGCTTTGTTACACATGAAAGGCTGTTCAACATTTACGGAATTTCTTAGGGTTACTAATGTCCTTTTTGTTCGCTTTTGAGCTTGAAAGGGTTTCAATGCTTTCAAGCATTATGGAGCAGTGACCATGCACGAGACACAGAGCGCAGGCAGCGAGACACATGCGTAAATGACGCGGGCACCAAGAGGGAACGTCGACGAACTGTTGGGCCGAAACTAGCAGCCTCCCAATTTTTTTATCTCCCCAAGTGATCCTGGCAAGTTTGTTAGCGCAGAGGCGTGTCGCAGTGCCTGGCCAGCGATGCCGAATTACGGTAAAGCACAGCCCCACAGCCATTGAGAATTCGGCAAATTACTAACCCATATATCTTTTCCAAGATTCAGCACCCCGATCCGAGGAGAGAGGTACGCCTGAGGATCTTCCTGCCAGCAAAAGATGCAGGCTCGCTGGATGTCAGATGTTTGGAAATGGGAGGCAAAGTGGAAATCCCCAGCAGGAATGTGGGGTAGCAAGTGTTCGTTTATTTCTTTCTTGAACCATTTGCATCATCCGAGCAAGCATGCTGGCTAGTTTTTGTGGACTCTGCTTCAGCTGCTGGAGCTCTTGTATTGAACTCATGCATGGCAAAATCATCCATTTTTAGGTGCTGATGCTTGAACCTTAGTTTGTAGACTCTGTCCAGGACAAACCACGGGCAACACCTTGGGTCACACATGCCCCCAAACCCCTCCACTGTTCACATGTCTCCTGAAGGCCGTTTTGATTTGTTTGCGTCCCGCGCCCTCGGTCCATGGCTTTAGTCCCTGCCAGCTTGGAATCGTTCACGTCCAAGAGACTTGCAGTTGTAGACTAAGGAGCTTTTCCGTGTGAATCTTCCATCACCTTTGTTCGTTCCTTTGCCGGCTCTTGTTGTGCAAGTTGGACACGTAGAGCTTTAGATGGACTTGTGTTGCAAATGTCTTTTCGGCCCCCAGGGGCATAAGCCCATTGGAGTTCGACTCTGTTCGATGGACCTTTTGATGACCGTCATTATCTGGTAGGTTTTGGTTGTGCTTCTAGCTGTTGGCATTTTTTTTGTGTTCGCTTGGTCACGTGACAGGTTATTGCCGGGCTCTGTTTCCAACGCCCGGAATGACATGGTTTGACCCTGCAGCAGACGTTTATCGTCCTCTACTTTTAAGGTGAACCTTTGAGATTGCAAACGTGTCTTGAGTCTTCAGGTTTGAGACTCAAGCTTTTGCATGCATGTACACATAAGCATGTCTACCCATGCACATTAGTTTGGCGTGCTGGGTCCGTTTTGGATCGTTCGTGCGCATCGAGTCAGCGAGTTGGATGAGGCGAGGACAAGAAGGTGCCTGCCGTCGTCATGGTCTGCGGCTTGCTTTGGCCGCTCGCCTCAGCATTCCCAAAACCCGCTCTCACCGCCAAGAGCAGCCCAACACCACCAATGGAATGCTGCACATGGCTTGGGGGGTTGTTAACGCCGGCCACCCTTGCTATAGTTTGATGATGTTAGTGATAGTTTCAGACCCAAACCCATCATCAAGTCTTACTGGCGCGGGTTGCAAAGCATATTCTCGAATGCTATGGTTGTGAGGTAGCTACGCCATGAAAAGGGCAGCGATGCAGAAGTTAGGGTAACAGCGCCGAAAGATGTGCATCCATTCCGCTTAATTGTTCAAGGTTTAAGGGGTCGAAGGCTCATATGCTTCCCCTGAGTCCACGCAGCAAGACTATTTTCCATGTCAGACAACTGACAAGGTTGGACGATGTTGTTTTTTGTTTGTTTCACCCCTTAGGAATGCTAACCCCTTCCCCAGAAGAGCCAAAAAGTGAAAACACAACAACACAACACCAAGCAACTGGCGCCTTTCGGTCCAAGGATTGCCAACACACATCCCTCAAGAAGGGAGCCAACCAGAAACAGCAAATTTAGTTCTTCAGCTTGTTTAAAGAATGAAGGTTTGACAAGCTCAGAAGAGGTTGCCCCCCTTCAAGGCCATTCCACCGTAATAAGTAATAACGCAAAACCTGATCAATCATGGCCCTAGTTTCTTTTTACTTTCCTATGGCAGTCCTATCGGCCAAGACAGGGAGAGCACCGGGCGGACCAAACAGGACCTTATACTCATTATGTGTGGTTGCTTTTGTCGCACATTGACTCAATCTGGGCGGGCCGTGCCCAGTCCACCGAACTTTACCGACTTTTACCGGGCTGCGTCCAGTCCGAATGTCACCCAATCTTTTGCATGTCGCCAAACGCATTTGCGCTTGCGCTCAACTGCGCTCCATCTCGCCACAACCTCGCTCCATTTTGCCACCAGCGCACGCGCTTTCCAGCACGATCCCTTGGTTCGCGCGTGCGCGGCTTCAGACCCCCCTCCCCCGCGTTCTGTCTGGTGCAGTTTCAGCCTGTGTCGTTGGCTGAGCCTTTTTCCTGCCTCACCACTCTTGTTTGTTTTGCCCCAGCCTGAACAAGGCGCATTGCTGGCGCTGTAACCGCTGGCCGGCATGATTTTCTTGGCATCGTAGTCTCCTGTCCTCTTTAGATCCTGATGTCTTGTGGGGCTGGTTTCGGGTTTGTAGCCCAGAAACCATCCACAGCCACTCTCAGTCGCCACTGCAGCTCTTTACAATGACAAATTCTTCCAGTGGAGGGCACTAATGGGCACCTCAACTCCAGGGTTCCTCTGAATCTAACTGGTCCAAAAGCGAGTCTTGTAAGTGTTTGAAGTTTATATAGTTTTGCAGCCGCCATTAAAGAAGAAACACACGTAAAGGTTGGACAGTTTGCAAGTTGGGGATTGATCGCACCAGGGCACAAAAACATGTAGCACCGGGAGCATCCCTGGTAGAAAGAAATCCCTTCTTGAGGTTTTCCCAGACTTCGGGCAACCGGACCCAATGGCTGGTTCCACGTCTCTGAAATATTTTTTGACATGTAATATGTATCTACTGTGTATACAGCAGTCTCTGCACAATCCAATTGTAGTGCGTCATCACTCCGATCGGCGAGCGTTGAGCGAAAGCAAAGAGCGAGGTTCGGCGAGGGCCTCTTGGGCTTCATCGGGCTCAACTTCAACGACGCCTTTGGCTATGCCTTCGCGCGTCAGGGCGTGCTGGGAGCCCTGGGAGGTTTGGGAGCCCTGGGAGCCCTGGGACCCGGAGTTGGCCGTTTAGCCCGGAGTTGAGTCTTTTGACTCCGTTGGCAGATCAGGGTCGAATGTTTGCCTTGCTTTGCTACTCTTGGGACTAGGGACCACCTCTGTTGACCGTGGCGTTGTGGATGGTTATATACATATGATATATATATATATATGTATATATAGATATACTGTATATATATATATATATGTATATTATGCACATTTACGCGCGTATGCGAGTAAGCTGTATCCAAATGGCACCAGGTCCATTGGTCTGGATCATTGGCGCATTTCAACCCACGAGTGAACCTGCTTGGATAGTGCTGTTGTTAGTTTGGTGGCTTGGACAGCCACTAGCAGCCAACGCATCCATGTCGGGAAGGCAACCGAAGAGTCCTAATCGAACATGGCCAGATCAGGCCTCAATCTGAGGTAGGGAGTGTTGCGTTTCCTCGCAACAAAAGGTTGAGAAGGCACTCCTTTTCAACTGAATCTGATTCCTGACATCGCATTCTGAGCAACTGGCAATTTTCAGGCGGAACACAGGGTGGTTGTCCCACACTAAGCGGGCTGCAGCCTTTTAGTTTCGGGGAAAGCATCTCGTTTTGCCCCGGTCAGGCCATGCGTGCAGATCCACACCCCGCAGCGCCACATTGCGCACACCCGGGTTGGAAGCTCGGAGGTCTTGCTTTGGCCCAAGGCATGCTCTGGGGCGCCACAGCAATGAAAATCCATGGGCCTTTGCGGAGCTTTCTGCGAGCCGTTCTCACACGGAGCAGTGTCACGGATCAGTGACAGTACAGCCGCGCTAACCTGTACACAAAACACGCCCAAACAGAGCAATTTGCCCAACACGGCCACAAGCAAATCCAAGCAAAAGAATCCAGTCTCCAAAGCCAAAACCAAGACTCCAAAAGGCCGCTGAATTCACCTGGCAGGTCATGGACCTGGCGGCGGCTGTCTGTGCGCCGCTCTACCTGGTGCCGGCCCCATGCCACCGGAGCCCGAAAAGATGAGCAGCAAAAACAACTAGCCGCCAAAGAGATGGAGGGGTTAATTGGGCGTCCTTGACCGCCGAATGGCCCCAACACACCCACAAACCCTTTGGATCATTCGGTGGAGCAAAATAAAGTGGAGGGCTGCTTGGTTGGCAACTTGATTGCTTTGCGCAGTTCGGGAGCCACACTCGATAGACACAAGACGCAAAGTTCATCAACTCCAAGCCCGTGGGTTCTCAGGGAGTATGGGAACGACTCCTCCAACCATGGGGTTGCTTTTCTTTTTTTCCGAGTCCGAGCTCAAGGTGCCTGGCTTGCGGTTTCTGCTCCTGGTCCGGCCCCCATTTTGGGCTCACTTGCAGAGTTTTAGCGCAAGCGCCCAGAGTAGTTTTGGGCTTCCTTTCATTTGGGAGCCCTCTCATTCAGATTGCCAATCGTCCGAGCTTGAGCGTCATGCAGACAGTGACATTGTCTTGTCCAAAATTCAAGAGTGCCTCACCCGTTGTTCTTGTTGCAGCTGGCGACGAAGCCATGTTGAATGAGACTCGTAAAACTGACACGGTGCTGACGAAGACACAAGTCTTTGTTTGAGGCCTCATTTCTGGTCAAGGAGAATCTTTTTGGATGATTTCTTTTTGAACACAACCCCAATTTCCTCGACAGTTCTGTATTGTGACCTTGAAAGTGCTTCTTTTTGTTGAAGGCTGGTAAATGTCGTGGCTGGGTGCATACGCTTCATTGGCTGTGGACCCATCCCTCCGTCTTGCATGACTCTTGTTTCACGCATAACCCTTGCTTCACTGTCAACCTGACCGGGGACAGAATGAGTCTTTGGCCCAGCTTCAACCCGTGTCGCGGGTGAAAGTGACCGAACCAACTCCCAGCTGGGCAATTCCCCACCGGCAGACCTTGAGATTGGCAAAAGCTCTCCAGTCCGCCCTGGCGGAGGTTGACTTCCACAGCAAAGGTTGTAGGAACCAACCGGAAAGAATTTGCAGGGCCATCGCCAGCTGTTTATTCTTTGTTGGCAGCCATGTATTGAACACTTATCCCATGTCTTGATTTTGCTTCCTTGACATGCACGTGGCTGTCTTCTCTCGGATGAGTCAGGTTCTGTGGGGCCATTTCCTAGTGTGAAAGTCTTGCTCATGGTTTTGTTTGTTCTGCCCACTGGATGCCTTGTTTTGACGAAGGGCTGAAGTAAAGCATACTGGGCTACCTGACTGTCTCCTCAAACAACTTTTTTTTTGTCAATTTCGAGTTCACCTGGCATCTAAGGGGAGGAACTAGTGTGAGGTGTCTCTGCCCCCAGGCCTCGGACGTCTTGATGCGCGGGGCCCGGGAGTCGGTTGACCTTGCCAAAGATGCCGGGTGGGGATGGGATGTGCAGATGGAATCCCTCAGCTGATCGGTTTTGGCTGGCCGCCGGGGGCCTGCAGGTTGCTAACGTCCAAGAAGGACATCTGGCTTCTGATGTTGGCCAGCCACTCAGTGATCCCGCATGTCCCAGATCCGCGGGCGCAATAACTTTTTTTTTGGGGGTTTGGAAGGAGGTACTGGTTTTTGATAGAATGGAATCAAGCGGGAAGTGGTGGACGGTTGATTCGCGACTTGAGGCTGTGGTTGGTCCTGGGCTCATGGACGCGGTGCTGGCGACCTCGCTTGCCCTGCCGGCGCCGGGGGCCGGGGTTGGGGGGTCAGGGTCTCCCAATAGGTAGGGGAACCCGCCTTTCCATTTTGGGCTCCCTGTAAAGCAACCCCTAAACTGGTGACCTTTAAAAAAGGCGTCTCCATATGCGGGCCGTCCGCAAATGCATGTCTTCAATTTATGCATTCGGGGAACTTGTGTGTTGTACGCGACTTGTACAACCTGCATCGCAAAAGGCCGGCGATTGGGCCGCGATTGGAGTAACATCTACGTGTTTGCTGGTAAGATGGGAAGAAGATACCGAGTTTGCTCCGCGATTGGCCCCGCTGTGGTTGCGATTGGAGTGCGAAAGGCCGGCAATTGCAGGGTTTTCAGGAAAAGTAACATAGGATAACCCCCCCATATGCAGGCATGATGGAACTCTTTGTTTGCGGCCAACTGGCGCGCGCCGGTGTGTGCAGGGTTGTCCCCAATGTCGTAATTGGCCCGGACCTCCCACACAGCTTCGGTGGCGAGCGGTTCGGCCGGCCGTAACTGAAGCCTTGTCTTTGCCCCACTCCACAAAAAGAAGGGCTTTGCGGTGCTATTGGCTCGCGCCATAGGGTCTGCCTCTGCTCTGGTCTCCTGTAGCGGTTCTGGCATTGGCCTTTGGTTCTTCCTTGTTGTTTCTTGGCTTTCCCTGGATGATGCGACTTTCCCTGCGCCCAGATCTGGTCTGGCGGTGGGTCTGGACCAACATTGGAGGGCCCGGAATCCGGATGCAATGACATCACTTGGTTGCTCATGGTCACGAGGTGTGCTCTTCGATTTTAGGTGCGACCATGACAACGGTTCCCATCAAGCAGACCATGACTATCGCTCGCTCAAGAAGTATCGACTCTGGGAAAAATGGGACGTGTCAAGGCAACTGAGCCCTGTAGTTCTGCTACAGCGATTGGCTTGATAGGCCTCCAAGACCTTGTTGTTTTTTGCTCGGCGTGCCTTGCTATTGTGGCTGACTTTTCGGTTTCTCGCCGTCTTCGGCAGTTCTAGATCCAACACCTCCGCACCTCGTCAAGCAGGAAACCTTGACCATCCGCCGGCCTCGATTTTGACACATGCTTAAAGTTGGCGCACATCCCCATGTTGCAAACCGTTTCAAGCATCCAGCCCTCTTCAAAGGTCAATACACAACATCTACAACAACTACAAGCGACCACATCTTTCTCCTGTTGTAGTCGCGGCAAGCCGAAAGGGCTGCCGGGCAACTCGAAATGAAGGTTACTCAAAACTCCCCAGGCTGATTCTCGGCCAGATGGCTGTTGTTCGTTTGCAGAGCACGTGACTTGCCATGTTACGAGTTGGATCGCTCCGCCCTTCCGCCTGCAGATGCTGCTCCTGGGTCCGCTGGGATGGCTGCTGGGCGTTGCTTACCTCGCCGCCGGACTTGTAGTGTTGTCCGAGCCCTGGAGGGCGATGGTAGAGACACTGCCAGAAGAGGCAAGCACGTGAGATTTGGTCAAAGTGTCCAGTGGTTCAGTTGGGACGGACATGGGGGGACGCTCCAAACTTCGCACAAAAGCCAGAGCACTCTCCAATTTTCCCATGTTCTTCAAGGAAGCAACAAATTTTGACTAACGCATATATGAGGTCTGGTATTTTTGACGGTCCCAACTCAACCCTCATGCGGAGCGGCCTTCACCATTTCTGTTTTTTGGGGCATCTCCCGTGATAGGGCTGGTTGGAACATGATGGTTTATAGTTGGAAAGCACAAGGCTCACCACTTGGAAGGTCCCCCAGTTTCGAGCCTCTGCCATGTGCTGGCCCTGGGTTCGGACTGATCACTGGGTCGAAGAGGGTCAGACTTTGGGCTGGCAAAATATGCTGGCACCTTGCGCTTTCTTCTTGAAGGACACATTGGCAAATGTAGATTCTTTGATGGCAACATGGCTGTGGGTCAAAACCAATGGTACCATTTTGGGGTAGGTGCACCACCCATCTTAGTCTATTTTAGTGGGGATTGGGATGTTCACTGGGGGTATGGGCTTTTGACGCATGGCCATATGTCCATGCAACCTTTGGCATGTGGATTCCTCACCTCGAGGCCGCTGCTCCATGGGGCCGTGCGTCTTGGCCAGTACGTGCCTGGGCCTTGGACCTGGACGAGAAGGTGCCCGGGTCTCATTTCACAGACGATTTGACCCTATGGCCATGGGTTAAAATCCAAATCGTACCCCCAGTGAACATCCCAATCCCCACTAAAGAAGACTAAAATGGGTGGTGCATCTACCCCAGAATGATACCAATGGTTTTGACCCACAGCCATTTAACAAAATGCCGTCATTCTCTGGAAGGCTCAGGGCCAAAGAGGCAGGTGCTTTTTGACGGCGGTCTCGGATCACTTCGCAGGGGTTTTCACAGCACCGCTGTTGTTCACACACAGTGAATCTGTGAGTTGCGAAGGTCCAATGAGTTGGACATGGAGGGCAAGGACCGACGGGACTACCTCAAGGAGGTGCGCAGAGTAGTAAGGGGCTGGTTGGAGAACACGATGTGTGTGTGTGTGTGTGTCTGCATGTTACGTGTTCAGTTTAGTTGTTGTTGTTTTGCCTTGCCTGGTCTTGTTTAGTTTGATTTTGTTTCCTTTTGTTCCTTTTTGTTCGGTGTTGCTTTGGTTTTGTTTGGTTTTTTTTGGCTTTGTTGAGTTTAGTTTGGCTTTGTTGAGTTTAGTTTGGTTTTGTTCGTTTTTTGTTTGTATTTCTGTCTGTCTGTCTGCCTGCCTGCTTGCTTGCTTGCTTCCTTGCCTGCCTGCCTGCCTGCCTGCCTGCCTGCCTGCCTGCCTGCCTGCCTGCCTGCCTGCCTGCCTGCCTGCCTACCTGCCTGCCTGCCTGCCTGCCTGCCTGCCTGCCTCCTTGCTTGCTTGTCTCTTTTATGTTGTTTTCTTCTGCCGAGCGCTTTAACGGATGCGGACCTGACTTGAGATGACTCTCACCCGAACTGTGGACTGCAAAGTTTCACAAGTTTCCCAGATGTGCCACTGCTTTCTGGGTTTACAAGTTGGAGATTGTCATTGGTTCCCCAAGTTCGGATTTGAACAGAAAACACTATTCTATAGCAGCAATTCAGAGCACGTACAGTGTTGACCATGAGGTGGAGGCGGCCGTGACGTGGGTGCGGGACCTTGAGGGGATTTTGGGGCTTAGAGCCAGTTGAGGTGGCCAGATTTGCCACATGTCCTTGGCTCATCAGCGGTCTGCGCTTTGAGGCAAATGTTGGGGAGGGACATCGCAGCTGGTCATCTAGCTCCTGTGACTCGTTGGAGGATTGCTCGCACTTTTGATTTTTTTGGCTACGGGAACGCAAGCGGGTTTCATGCGAGTGGCTTGCCTTGCCATGTGGAACAGAGAAATCTGCCATGCTGTTGAGATACTTAATGACTTGGAAAACAGCAGAATGGAATGCAATGGAATTGAAATTTACATAGAATGCTGTGGAATGGGTTGGAATAAGCTGTGTTTGTTGAAAACTGGGCGGTTAGCAGGGGACATTTCTGTTTCCTTCAGAGCCAGCATGCTGTTCACATCAAATCGGCGCAATATGCTGAGGCTGAGGAGAATGAAGAATCTCTCGGTAGCGATGGACGCCTGGTGCTTTGTGGTCCTTGCCGGCATGCTTGCAGCGTGACAGAGGTATCTCTCGAAGCTCTAGGTGCAAAGTCAACTGCCTCAGCATCGAGCATCTTGTTGCCTCAGCTTTGTTCTCGTGATTTGCCGGAGAAATGTGATCGACGATGGATTCTGATGCTGGTGATGCTGATGATGCCAGCCAGCCATAGTTCCACCAAAGGCAGTGATGCTAGAGATGTACTTCTGTTGATGGTGTTGGTGATGCTGGTGATGCTGATGATGCTGGCAATGCTAGCAATGATGGTCATGCTCTACATATTTCTCCGTTGTTATCTATGCTTGTCCATCTTGAATTCGCTCGTATTTCAACCAATGATGCCATGCATGCGCACGCATTTGTCCATGTATCCATCAAACAAGTCAACGTATTTAGGAACCACGTATCCATTCAATATTCATTTCTCCATTTATCCCTTTAACCGTTTGTGCGTTTATCCGCTTACTACTGTATTTATCATTTAATTTGCCTTGTTTGCTTACCTATTTCTTTATGTATTTAAGGGGTTCATCTTCTTTAATGTTTATCTATCCATCTGGCTATCCATCTATCTATCTATCTATCTATCTATCTATCTATCTGTCTATCTATCTATCCATCTATCTTTTTGTCGATCTATCTAATTTATCTAGCTATTTCTCTACTTATGTATCTACCCAACTATCCATGTACCTACCTACCTATCTATCTATCTATCTACCTATCCATCTATTTGTCCATGTTCTAGTTTTTGGTATTTCTTTTGGGGTATAAATTTGTCTATCTATCTATCTAGCTAGCCATCTAGCTAGCTATCTATCTATGTTCTATTTTATCTATTTGTTTATTCATTCATTTATTTGTGTATGTGTTTTTTCATTATTCTATTAATTTATTAATTTATCCATCTACTTTTGTACAATGTGCTTATTACTCAGATTCATTTGTTTTGAATCCTTGGTTTATCTATCTTTTCTTCTTTTTTTACATATATCTATCTAATTGTCTATCTTTTTAATATATCCATCTATCCATCTATCTATCTATCTATCTAATCTAATCTAATCTAATCTATTCTATCTGATCTGATCTGATCTGATCTCATCTGATCTGATCTGATCTTATCTATCTTATCTATCTTATCTGTCTTATCTATCTTATCAATCTTATCTATCTTATCTATCTTGTCTATCTTATCTATCTTACCTATCTTGTCTATCTTGTCTATCTTATGTATCTTATCAATCTTATCAATCTTATCAATCTTCTGAATCTTATCTTATCTATCCTATCTTATCTATATTTGGTTTTGGTTATTTGTATATCTTTCTATCCGTTTGTTCTTCTTTTGTTTTTAACAAATCGTATATATATATATATATAATTTATTTATTCAAGCTGTTTAATTGTTTATTTGTTTTTCTGGCTTTTACTTGTCGGTTCATTTCTTTCATTATTTCTTTCTTTCCGTCCAGGTATCTATTTTCGTTGGTGTATTGAAATCGCTACGCGATCCGCCGACACCTGTTTTTTTTCCATGGACGTGATGCTGGGGATGCTGAACATGCAAGGGATGCAACCACACAACGTACAGGACCAGACCCAATCTTCGCATCCAAAATTTCAAGACTTTCAGACACACAAAATTGACGGGAATGCTGGGAATGAATGCAGCCGGCTGGCCACAACAAAGTGCAAAAAAAAGCAGTGTTTTTTGATATTCCCCAAAATCAACCATCAAAAGCAGATTCTAGCACCCCCCCTCAAATACCCTAAAAATACTTCCAAAAGCACGATAATGCAGGGGATGTTTCGCAGTAGCTGCTCTGTACAGGTGGGGAATGGCAAAAAGACTCATTTTTGCAAATTCAATCAGTTCCTCAATGTATCGCTGCACTTGGCCCCACCCAGACCCCTAACAGGCCAATTCCAACATTGCTTGGAACAGCAAAACACCATTTGTATCTGCAAAAAAACAGAGAGAACGTCATGGCAGCAAGAAAAAACCTGATGATGCCAGGGATGCAGATCCTGCGCTTCCGAGCGAACCCCCCCCCCCCTAGAGACCTAGGCGAAACGCATATTTTTAGCACGCAAGCCCCAAAAACACTGGAACAAATGCAGGGTTTTGGACACTCAGCACACCATGCCCAAAAAATGGTAGCCCCAAAAGCCTTCGGCTTTGATAAGAGATTTCGAAGGAAGACCAAGTTGCGGACTGCCGTCTACACGCTCGACTGGCGTCGGCGGATTTAGAGCTGAAGCCTGGCAACCGAAGAGTGCGCCAGGCTATTCTTCAGGTGGCCACGTGGCTGCCTTGTACGGCCTGCAGAACTGCGCAACTCCCGGCAACAGCCGTGGATCCCGGACTGAGTTGGGGAGGGTTTTCTTGCGTGTAACGAGGTGGGGGCCTGTTTTGTGGGCCTTGTTTTCGAGACCCCAACCTGTTGCTTGGCCCGAACCAAAATGGAAAGTGGAGGTGGGAAAATGAGTGGGGGTTGGAAAACACCCGCTTAAGAGCCAACCTACCTCGCAATCTTCTTCCGTTTTGTCGCAGGTTCTTTTCGGTTGAAGTAAATGGTTTGGACGGGTATCAAGATAACCGCAGGCCCGCTTTGGCTCCCAGATTTGGGTTTTGGCATGCCCATGATGATGCTTACTACAACAAGAACGGAGCAGACACAAGCAAAGCGGGTAGTCAACATGGCATCCAAGACTATTCTAGGGCGCATCTGTGCGTCCCTGGAGGCACTAGCAAAGCTGCGACGTTGCGTCTTGCTTCTACTTGGTGGACAACAGCTCGAGCAACTGCCACTGCATGTTGGCATGATGTTTCAAATTGATTCTGGTTATTTTCTCAGGCAATTTGCCAACCCAGGCCACGGCTTCAACATCTGTCACAACAAACTGGTTTGTACTACACTCACGTTGAGTATGGTTCGTTGTCGACCGCATCATGCCAAGTTGACGCAGATGCTTTCTTGAGTGTCCGAGGCGACCGCCGCTTTGAGGCAGTGGTACTCGTCTCAGGCCTGGTGGGTGTCCGCAAAGCACAGAGGCATGGAAGGTGACTCCTAAGGCTTTGGTTCTGACCCATGCCCAGCTTTTGAGAAGGAAAGATCGATGAGAGATTTCAATCTGAGGTAGACTCGAAGAAATCGCCCTCTTGCAGCTTGACAGAAGGCTCCTTCACAAGTCTGCCTTTTTTGATGTATTGTTCTGAGCTGCACAAAACTTCTGAAGCACAAGGCCGGAGAGGCTGACAAGAGGAGCGACCTTGGCATGACACGACCAGCATGCACAATATGTTGAGTTCGTTCCAGGTTTTGAACTTGAGGCACTCTACAGCAGACAGGCCCTGCAGTTCTACTGCCTGTCCCGCCGCAGGCATCTACGACCTGCGCACTGAGGGCTGGCAGGGGGCAAAGCGTGTCCTGGCGCCCGTCCACAACATGCTCTACGGGGAGCGATGGGTTCGTGAGAGCCATAAGGTAAGGGACGGTCCCAATCAGAATAAGGTGCGTCCGCCTGGGTTGTAGACCATTACTATACCACGTTTTGATTATGACTCAGCTGAGCTTTCTTGTTTGGCTTCTTTCTTTGTTGGGATTCTAGCATCATTGGGGGTCTCTACCACTTCTTTTGAAGCGGTTTCTGTGGTCCGGAAAGCAGGATAGCTCATGATGACTGCATTTAGTCTGACATCTTGTCCCTGCTTGGCCCACAGACTCTTTGTGAGATACCGGTGTCGCCAGCCGAAGGATCAGCAATCTGATTGACAGTGACTGGTTGCACGCTTCGCTGTTGATGACCAGGACATCCTTGGTGCTGACTCCGATGAAAAGAGGGCGGCTGCCTCTCCAGCAGTGGCTCGCCAAGTAGGGCATGCGACACCGGGGAGCAATGAGCACAGAACAGAATGGGAGGGCTGGGACCATATGCATGCCACGTTTTGCAAGCGCCTTTCGTGATATTCTCCTTCACCCAAACTCTCTGACAGAACCTTTGGTTTTGCTAGCGCTTCATTGATGGGCCATTGATGGCTGCTTCTTTTTGGTAGTTGGCGAGGTTTACGTCCAAGAAGCAAAGAAAGTGAGGCACATGTCATGCCATGAACCACTTCATTGGGGGACTGAAGTCTTGATGCCATGATGCAAATTTATGCATGTATCATCTTGCTTGAAAAATGATGAATCCGAGAAGAAGCTGCGCACTCCAGAAGAGCAGTGACCCTTGCGGCTCTCCATGCAATAGAGGCAAACAACTTCTTGCGCGCAACGTAATAGCAAGCTGGACATTTGGCACACCAAGGCATGATAGGATAGGTCACTATGTGCGGAGAGTTCATGGGTGTGGAGAAACATGCATGGTTTCTGAGCAGAACCATGCCGACTTACAGCTTTCTTGTACTTTCGGGGACGGGCTCTCTAAGGCGGTGGTGCAGTCCTCCAAGCAGAAGGAGTTGGACAGCGGCTGCACCTGGTGGCTCCTCAACGCCAAGATGGCCCGGCGCCCACGGGGCCCCGGGCGACAGGGCAAGTGGCCGGTGTCTCGGGTGAGCTCTCAGCTCTAAGCAGAAACCTGGCGCCCAGAACAAGATCTCCGAAAAATATCCTGTGCCACCTCTCTTCGGGTCGAACGTTTTCAAGAAACTACTGACACCAAGTTGCGAACGCCTTGGGGGCCATTTTGCAACATGTTTGTTGTGGTCAAAGTCAGTAGCTGGAAGCACAAGGCCCGCAGACAGCGCGCGCCTCGCTTCGGATCGTTAAGTCACTCTGTTCCTGGCCAAGATGCATCTCCCTTGCATGCACCTTTGAACCGCAGCCTTTGCTTCGTGGCATTCAGGTTTTGGTTTGTTGCCTGATTCCCTTGCACTCAAAGCCACAGCTCCCGACGGTTTCTCAGGAGCTGATGAGGCTGCCGTTGCTGGAGGACATCCTCTTCAGTTGTTGGAAGCTAAGGTTCAAATCCAGCTGACAAGTGGAGAGGGCAAGAGGGTGTCTCAACCCCAAACCTCCCGTGTCTTTTTGGGGCGCTGGCAGTAAGCTCCAGGGGTCCAGGGTACCAGGATGGGGCGGGGGAGCGGCACGGATTGACAAAGCTGGAGGGAGCCTTCTGCCTGACGGCCCGCCCAACCCGCAAGAAGTTCAGCATCCGGGCGACTTGGTTTTGGGCCCAAGGCCAGGTTCGGAAGACTCGCGGCATCAAGGTGTGCGGCTTTTGACAGAGACCCGGTGTCTTATGTTTGCCTCGGAATGCGCTTCCCATTCTTCGGCCCATTTGGGAGGGCACGGCCAACACCTCGCACTGCTCACTGATTGATCTGGGTTTTGGAGCGTTTGAAGGTTCAAAGCGAAACCCACCGCCCCGCAGCCTTCCCCCAGGCCCTGCTCCCGCTTTTCTTGAGCCGAGGCACGGGCTTCGCGGCGGATCTGAAGGCCAAAGGCGCCACTGTGAGGCGGGAAGCGTGGCGCGCCACGTGGCATTGGTTTGGGTGGGTCCCTTGGTCTCGTTTCGTGGAACTCCTCTTACGTCCTCATGTCTCTCAAAATAAGTCAATGCCCTCATGCTTTGTCGGCATCAAGTATCTTGATGTGCAGAAGAGCCAAGGAATGATCGGTTGGTTGTTTGGCTGGCCTGGTTTGGTCTGGTTTGGTATGCTATTTTTGGCTTGGTTGGCTGGTCAGGTTTGCTGGTCATTTTGCTTGTTTTTGTTGATCAGGTTGGGTTGGGTTGGATTGTTTGACTGGTTGGCGTGTCTGATTTGGTTGGGCTGGTTGGTTTGGCTTTGTTTTGGCTTGGTTTGTGAGAGGACTTTGCTTGGCCTGGTGTGGGGCTCGAACTGCGCTTGAATTGCTGGGATTATTTCCGGGAGGAGCAAATGGGCACCTTTCCATCACTCGAATGCTACGAGCCACCTGGCCATATGTGCCATGGTGAGTGGTGGGATGGCTCATCAGCCATTTCGTACCTAGTAAGAAACCCGGACAACCAATGCAAAGATGCCTCAGATCCGCAAAAGGCCTTTTGATCATGACACCGGCTGTGCAACGGCGCTGCCCAATTGCAGGCGTGCCGAGTGTGGCTACAACCACTGGCTGTTGGTGCGACACTCAGCACTGTTGTTGAGTCTTCATTTGGGGGCTTTATTATTAAGGGCATCCTGCTTGTTTGTTTTACTTTGTTGCTTGAAGGGAAACAAAGAGGACCCATTCATGTTGAGATGCCCCCATTTAGACACAAGTTCATGTTGATGCCCTAGTTGCTCATGCTCGGCGTTTGGATGTCTGATGGCGGATTTTGAGCCGATCTTGAGATGTTCTGTTCCTGTTTGGATCTCCTTGACTCTCTCAATCCGTCACTTAAGAAAATACTCCCAGTCGTACTCGGACAAAGGCAACCGCTCCCTTTTTTCGCGCCGAGATCTTCGGCTTCCCGACCTTCGCGGAGTCCTTCTGCGAGAGTTTGAAGCAGGAAGGCCCCTCCAGTGACAAAAACTGACTGACCCGCGGTTCCACCCGACGGACGGCATTGGTCCGAGGGTTGGGCCATTTTTCCAAATGGTCGGACCAGAGCGTGGCAGGGCGGAACCATCTGAGATGGTCCCCATGCACCGAACAAATCATTGGCTGTTGTTGAAGCATTTCCATGACCGAACCAAACAGCGGAGCCCTCAAAAGTCTTTTGGGATCCAAACAATCCGGGACAAAAGTAGAGCTCCGCAAGGGGTTATACTTTGAGTGTGTTTTTCGGCGTTTAAGTGCTGTTCTGGCAAGCTGGAGCGCGAGCCCTTGGTTGGTTCTCGGCTTATGTGAGCCCCTGTTGCAGGGAATGAATATGTCTGGTACTACTTTTTCCAAGTAAAAAGTATTGCGGATGACAAAGAGCCCCTATTTCTCAAGTCACCCATGTAATTTTGTGGAAGCACCTACCTCACTCGGCAGATCCATTCCTTTCCGTTTTAACGTCTTACCTGGAGATACGCAACTTGCAGCCGTGGAAAAAGGTTTAGGTGGCCTTGGCAAGCCACTCGCGCTTCCCAGGCGTTGCGGCAGGGCGGGGAAGGAGGGTGTGGAAGTCGCGGAAATGTTTGTTTGCAGACCATCGCTTGTCAGGAATGTTGTGTCTGAAGTAATCCAGAGTTTTGTATGCAAAGGCAATGCGAGTCAGTCAGCTTCACTCTAATCAGCATGCACGGTATCAGGAGAGTGCTTGGCACTTTCCCATCCCAAATCACCAAGCAAAACAGTCGCACGAAAGCAGTCTTAGCACAGCTTGCTTTAGGGGATTTGAACTTGAATGGGCAGTGGAGATGAAGCTCGGAGAGATGGGCTTGGCAAATACGCAGCTGAACCATATTTTTCGAACTTCTGACTGTGTCGCAAAGCGAAAGGCAGTGACAACCAAAACCTTGATGTTTGTCCCTTATTGACCTTGGCAAGGTGTTTTCACGTGCCTGCACACGTTGGTTGGGGAAGTGCACCATAATATGGTTTTCGGACCCGTGTTGCTTCGGGTACCATGCTGTTCTGTGGGGTCAGGGTGTTTTGGGGTCGGTAGCATGGCGTCGCTGCAGAATGCAAAGGAGACCCAGGATATGGACGGAAGGTAGGGGCCCCTTTCGCAGCCACTTATCCTCATGGCAGGGCTCGAGTTTGCAATGCCACCAAGATGAGAACTCTGCAAGCTGTGGCTATTGGCGGATGGCAAGGAAAGACAAAGCCAGCAGCACCCTCAGCCAACCCTATCCAAGTAAGAGCAATGCATTTGGTCAATCCAGTCCCATCAGCCCTCAAGCAAACAACGCACACACACACACACACACCACTCACCAGGCCGCGTCAGATGTGCCCGAAAGGGGGTCAGCAAGAGGCAGCCACCGAGCTGAAGCGGCAGTTTTGTCAGCTGAAGTTTTAAACCTTATGTCTGCGGTCCGACTCCTTTGGACATGGACGGCTTTGGCAGGGCGCTCAGATTCCAAAACCGGGTCCTTGGATGGTGATAAATCAGGTGCGCGAGCAATCTGAACAACCTTTCATGGGACTTGATAGATTGACTGGCCCATGTTTGGGCTCTTGACAGAGCAACCCTGTGCACGATGTGCCTGAAGCATGCAGAATCCAAGGTCCTTTCCTCAGGGCAGGCGCCCCAAGATGCCAGGGCCCTGGCTTGTTCCTGCGGGCAAAGCACGACTTTGGATGATGTTGAGCACCCGGTTTCGGCGCCCTTCGATTTGGCTGACTGGCGAATCCTTCGACTTCCGAACAAGTTCTACGTCCATCGCGAGTCGGGTAGGCCAAGCTCCTGGAGTACGAGGTGAAGGCATGCAAGCACACCATGCTGCCCAGCTCGCCCCGGGCCCTGGGGCTTTCGGAATTTCGGTCAGGAAAGAGATTTCGTGCGGGTCGGTTGAGATGGATGCGGGGCACGGAGCTTGGAAGGCTCTTCACAGAACTTGTGCTGTGAGGCAAGGGGAAGCTGCTTGGATGCCATCGCGCTTCTATATAGTTGGGCTGGGTTCGGAGAATGGCCATTTTGATGTTAAAACATAACTTTTCAAACAAGCCTCCTTCCAGCTGGCTTGCAGCTGCCTGTTCTCATCTCCTTTTGGCCTGTGAACGTCGAGCGCTGTCCAAAAAGGGAAATCCTGGATCTGTTGACCTTTTCAGACCCGCCCTTGGGTGCACTGGCCATGTTGTTTTCTACGCCTGCCACAGGGTGGCGCCAATTTGTGAGCTCCGCAGCCCTGGCCCAAGCCTGGGGCAGAAGCAGGCCCTTCCTTTGCCACATGACCTGTGGCAAGGTCTCCATTTTACTGCCCCTCGGCGAGCGGTCGGACATGCAGGGAGCCTGGGAGGTTGGCTCTGGCAGTTTTTGACACTGCCCATGGAAGGGGAGTGAAGCCAGCGTTGTTCTGAACCCGCGTTACTTGTGTATCACGGCTTTGAATCTAGATGGAAGTCCGTGGCTGGCTATCACACCAAGTCGCTTGGTGGAGGCAAGGCGTGGTCAAAAGTGCTTCCTCACTGTTCTCTTATGTTTCTCCTCCTTTTTGGCTTCTGGGGACGCTACCCCCCCCCCATGTTTCTCAGAACCCCTTCCACGAAGGGGTTCTTAGAAGGGCTCTAAGCACCTTTGGGGGAGTCGGACAAGCCCTAGGCTCCTGAACAATGGCAAGTCTCAGGCTTTTGAACGTTGGCCAGAAGCGCCTGCAGGATCAGTCACAGCAGCAACAACAAATAAAACATTGACAGCAACAACAAGGTACACCACACCAACGATACTTGGCCAGCAGTTGCACCACAGTGGTTTCTACAAGCAGTTTGACCCAGCGGCCGGAGAAAGGCAACTCCTTGGCTTTGGTTACAAGGCCCTTTCAATGTTGACACTGGACATATCCCAGTAGCCGCCAAAAAAGCGTCGTTGCTTTCAAACTGAGCAGATCAGTGGATGGTTCCCGGAGGGACACATTTGTCTTTCACAAAGGACATGTTTTCACCCGGACAAGTTCTGACTCGGTCCAGCTTAGAAACTCAAGATTAAGAAGCTCGCTCCGCTGAGTTGCTTGATTTCAACATGAGCGATCCCTCGTTTCAGTTTTCTTGCTGGCTAAAAACCAGTCTGGCCAGTGAGGCATGCCGTGACTTTGACCATTATTTGGAAGTCAGTTGCCATTTTGCACTGCGTCAAACCTAGGGACCTGCTTTGTTTTCGAGTTGTGAAAGGCTCAAGAGAACCGACCAGATGTCCTGGACCTTGTGGAACTTCAGGCTTCAGATCCTCGCAGAGGCCGCCATCACCCAGCGGGACTACCTGCGCGCCGAGCCGCTGGCGCTTGGGCCAAAAGCCGCCTGATTTCCCAGGCTGCAGCTTAACCCACTGAAAGCTACAAGGTCAAAGGCGCAAAGCATTGTGGGGAAGTATGGTTTTTTTTCGGCTTCGGATCGTGCACATTTTCGAGTGGAGCTGTTTGATGGCAAGGTGAGCATGAGAGGGCTCGCTCACTGGCTCGAGACGGCCTACATTTCCGGTTCACTTTGGCGAAGGAATGGGCGAATGGCCATTTCAGTAGCTTGTTCCACTACCGGGTTTAATTGGTAGTACAGCCTGTAGAAGCCTCCTGTGGAACCATGTTAGTAGCTCCAAAGTGAAATGATTCTCGGCACCTCTCAAATATAGATGCCGCTTTTAACGGCGTTCATCCTTTTCTCAGTTGCCCAAAGTGGAGCGTTTGACCTTCTGAATCTCCCCCACGGTGGAGAGTTTTTGTTTGTGAAGTGAGGGCCCCAAGCAGATGAAGCTTTGATTCCCAGGTCCTGCACTCCACTTTTTTGCGATCCAGGGGTCTCAACAGGGTCCAAGTTACACAATTCTGTGCTGGCTAGTGCCTGGGTGCCTGCCATGCCAGCATACCGGAGGCAAACATCCATACAGGGTGAGTCACCGAGTTGCCTCGAACCATGGCATCAGGTGCAAGCCACATCCATGCTGGGAAGAAGGCAAAAATGCCAAGAACAGTGGACCACGAAAGAGTCGAGGACCAAGACGAGCATGGAAGCAAAACAGCTATAAGCACTTGTTGGTGTTACTCACGCGGCAGTCGCAACAAGGTCTACGGCCACATGCTGTCATGTAACGGGTCTCACCAAGCAGATCCTTGGTATTTGAAACACGTAGGAATATGGGAAGGACATGGACGAACATAACTATGGCTTTGGTCCTCTTCAAGTTGCTTGGAGTAGAGCTGCGACTGAACGAGCACTCATGGCTTTGGGCGCCGAATACCAAAGATGTGTAGAAAACAGATTTGCGCCTTCAGCTAAACTGAGGCAAATCGAGTGTTTTAAACCGTGCCCTGTAGTGTGTTTTGGGGGGTTCCCTTTTCCGTGTTTCTTTTGCGGTTTCGTTGGCCTAAGCGCCGTGAGACGCCTTTCACAATGAGTCATTCGGTCGCCCCATGGGCTCCCGAGTGATTCGGAGCATGTACAATGGATGATTTCCGTGTGAAATTCCAAGGGAAAGTGGCCATCCCCAATTTGAAATATACATATATATATATATTATACTATATATATATGTATATGAGATCTGGTCAAAAACCTTGCGCACAGGGTTTTGTCTTCGAGGGTCCCTTTGCTTCAAGCCCCGTCAACCGATGAGGAAAACCCAAAACCGATGCCCCGTTGTTTTTTAGCAGTCAGTCTCAAGCCATGATTTGGGTAGAAACTCGCTATGGTGGGGTCGATGGCATCATCGAGACAAACGTGGTATCTTATCCGGAGACTTGGCTTTGCTGGCATTGTTTGTGTTTTTATGTTTAAATGACGCAGAAAAGAAAACCAAAGGCGTAAAAATGATATGATTGCAGAACCTATTGGCTGCAGCTGCCAAGGACCGCAAACATCGTGTGTGCAGCCGCAAGAGCCAGGATGAGGCGAACCACCTCCTGAAGCTTTTGCAGGAAGCACACCAGGCAAACCCTAGCATGTCTATGAAGGAGATGAAGGACCTTTGCAAGTGCACCGCAGGCTCATGAGCATGCGCCTGGGTCCTGCTCATCCCAGGCGGTTGCCACACAGCGCGCCAAGGACACCGGAGCCCAGTCAGCTGGCCATGCGCAGGAGAAGTCGGATGACATGGCCACGGAGGTGTCGGTGGAGGTGGCCCACAGTGCTGCTCCCAGCCCAGAGCGCGCAACGTTGCCAATGTTGCTGGCTTGGTGCAAAATGTCTGTCGCAACAGCGAGGAAGCAGCAGAAGTCCTGTTCCGTGTGTGTAGACAGCTTGGTTCAGAGTGGCCGGACTTGCCCACGAGGGTAGAAAATGCCTTTCGCTCAGCTTCCTCCTGCCACTGTGACTCCTTGCTGCAAGGGCTAGGCTCCATGCGGTCAGCCTGGAAAGTACATCATATGCCGGTGGTCCGCGCTTTGGATCGAGCGGTGAATGAAGCAGGCTTTCGCAACCGCGATGCCTTGGCTCGAACGGGTTACAAGGTGCCCAGGTCTACGTGGAGGCTGCGGGTCAATGGCACGATGAAAGCATCAACGCCGACGCCCAGGTCGACCGAGTAAGACCTTGGATGAAAGGACCATTGCCATGTGAAGGCGCTGCTGTTTGCCAATTCTTCCCCCACCAGCTTGACGTGCGTTGTGAAGCGGAAGGGTGCTAGTGGAACAGCGCGTCGCTTCCGACGCCCAGTGCGGACATTGACTGCCTTGGTGGAGACCATCTACAAGAGCTTCAGCCCTACTCAGAAGACCATGTCAATTTCAACGTTCCGGCGTATCCGGCGCATGCATTGCCCGGAATACCGCCGTGGTCAGCGCCGGACAGATCTTTGGAAGAAGTTGGTCCCAAGAGGTTCTGCCTTTGCGAAGGAGGTTTTTGAAGACATGGAAGCTGCCTGCCCGAAATATTGGGCACCAGCACTGGCTGGCAGACGGACAGGGCCTGTCCTCCGCGGAGATGATATACTGGAGAAGCTTGCGCTCATTCAAGAGTACTTGTCCAGCAAACATGAGAAGAACCACCAGGAGATTGGACGCCAAGCCCCCCAACCCGCCCTTGTCAGACGCAGCGAAGGTTTGCCGCTCAAGGACTTGAAGCTACACCAGAAGATCCTGCAAGCCTACGACTGGCATGTGCTCCGCGGCGCGGGAACAAGCGGCACTGCGGCGCAACATCCGCGACCTGCCGCCGCAGTGCGCTTATTACAAAGCTGGTGCGAGAACTTGCCCATTCCTCTGGCAGGCAGTGAAACCAGTGACATGTGGCGCGGAGCCCAAAGAAAAACTCTGAGATTGCATGGAAGATCCTCGCATGTTCTTTGTTCCCCACCCTCCGCGCCCTATCTTGCCATTGCTTCTGCGCGCGCTTACGCCTTTCCACGATGGCGGCTCTGCTGGTCCTTCTTCACTTCTTCACAGAAGAGGGAGGCCTCGCAAGCCTAGGGGGGGGCTACACATTGCCTGGGCTGGCATCTCGTTTCACGCAGTGCTATGCTTTGAGGCGTGTGAGCAAAGTGTGCTGCTCACATGTGCCGCGCGTTTGCTCATGATCGACGGCAGACGGGGGTCCCGCGCTATATATATATATATACATATATATATATATATATATATGTATTGAATTCGTATGGGTGCGTCTCAAACAAAGGATCTGGTAAAATGGTCAGTTTCCTTTTGGTCTCCCTTCAAAAACACTCCAACTGGGGTATAGCCCAACCACAGCTCGAAACTTGTTGCCGGCACGGGCCGAAGATCGAACTGTCCGGCTGACCTTTTAAGTTTTTGTCCGATAGCGGCACATTGCTATGGAGAGGCCATTTTGCATCAAAACCCTAGAAGAATACTCTAAAGGAGGTGGTTGCACCTCTGAGCCAGCGTCAGGTGCGAGAGTCCCTGGGGTGCTTTCTCAAGGAGCGCCTCTCCTGGGAGCCCCTGGATTGCAGGGATCTATGCCTCAGGCCAACTTCCATCACAGCCCACCTACCATGCCAAAATCACGAATCTGCCAATCAATCGGGGAACATTTGGGCGCATGGCAAACGGGCACGGCGGCAAGGGTGTTTCGGCTGTCGATAGGTATGTGAGCCTCGGTGATGCGTCTGTCTTCCAGCCCTTCTTCCCCAGCTGTGCCGGTCTGAGAGTCGGAGGGTTTGGGTTCGCTGTGTTGAAGCGGCACCTTCCCAAGGAACCCTAGTTGGACGCGCCCGCCATGTGCACCAATGTAGACGTAGATCCAAGACGTTCTCTTTGCAGCATTCAAGGTTTCGCAAAGGGTCCGCGCTGTGTTGATGGGCGCCTCTCGCTTGGCCAGAGCTTCTGGCAGCAAACGTGCGAAGCTGCTTTCAAAAGGAATTCTAAGTGATAGGGGGTTCTGCGGTCCTTAAATTTCTGCCACTACTTGATGTAGCCAGCAGACCCAGAAAGGCCCTTAAAGCCCAGGCGTTCCATAGGGTTATAGGATTTCTAGAGCTCGCTGGAATGCAACATCTGCAAATGCCGCCCCCGTAGACACATATGAGTCAACACGTCTTAAAGGCGCGTAGGCACCTTTAGCTGAGCCTTTCTGAGATGCCAGTCCGTGTATCTTGTTTCCTCGTTGGCAAACCTCTTCCGAACGTTTCGGTGGAGGGATGGCTCAAATCCTAATTGCGAAGCGGCGTACCATCATTTAGGAGTAGGGCCAATCTTCAGAGACAGAAGCTCTCCCTCCCCTCCCCTCCCCTCCCCTCCCTCCCTCCCCTCCCCCCCCTCCCCTCCCTCCCCTCCCCCCTCCCCTCCCTCCCCTCCCCTCCCCTCCCCCCTCCTCCTCCCCTCCCCCCTCCCCTCCCCTCCCCTCCCCCTCCCTCCCTCCCTCTACGTTTTCCGCTACTGGGTAAGACAACTTTAAAGGGAGGTTTCCATCCGCGTGGTCTCCAGGTGCCGTAGTCTCCAGCGGGGGCGCGCACTTGCTGCGCCCACGCAGGGGCGAGGAGAGCAGTGGGCGCCTGACCGGACGTACTCTGCCACGCTTTTGGCAGCTGGGATTAGGGTGCTGCGTTTGGCCTGAATCTTTTTGGCAGTTCGAGTGGCACACCACGAATTAGGATGCGTGAACACAGGTCGGTCACGACTTTCATTTGCCGGCTCTTTGGTCGGTTTAGAGGGAACCCAAACCGAACCAGGTCATGTGCTGGGGTTCCAGACCGCAAGGAGATCGATGCCCACAGCGCGGTCTTCCGCTTCAACGACGCGCCGGCGGATCGGCGCTTCGCGGATTTCGTGGGCAGCGCCTTGGCCTCTCAGAGCCTCGGGCCGTCGAATTGGTCTTGGCCCGGAGTTGGAATTCCGCAAACTTCCCAGAGTCTCCGGAGCAGCCCTGTCTACTTTGGTGCAACACAGTGCTTTTCGGGGTACTGGATCTAGCAAAGCAAACTTAGCAATTGTTCACATTGCGTGCCTGACGTGGGGCAACTTGAGGTGGAAAGGTTTGCAAGTTGCAATTGCGGCAAGGTTTTTTTTCTGCGACTGGGCTAGCGATGTGGCCACTCTTTAAAATAAAGGCAATACTTCCGTCACCTTTATCACAGCAAAGAACACTAAACCAACCTCAAGCTCAGCATCAATCGCTGCATCAGCAGCATCATCAGCCCCATAAGCATCCTCATCAAGACACATCGCATTGCTAAACTGTCAGTCAATTGCCAGGCTCCTTTCAGAAGCATTTGCGGCATTCCTGGAAAAGCTGCGTTGCCACGAGTGAAATCGCTGCCGAGGGTTTTGCAGTCGATGCTTGTGGAATTTAGTCGATGGTGCTGTGCCGGAGATGTGAAACTTCTCATTAAGGAACCGCTTGAATCGCACGGGGCCATGGCTGCTTAAGCCAGTTGTGCCCACCGTTTCGTGTGACTGTTGAAGCTGGGGCTCTGACTCCTCAGTTATGAAGCTGACAGAGAGTCCATGCCTGGAAAACTTCCACCATCCACTTGGGAGTTTCTTGGCACATTGTGCAGATGCGCACATGAAAGGACCCTGCGGAAGCAACACACAGGGTGCTGACGGTTCCTCTCCGGTGCCCCTTCCGATAGTTTATGCTCCCCTCTGTGCTCAATGGATGCTTGTGAGGCAAAACAACCATCCGCGTGATCAACCACTTTCAGCGGCCTGTCTGCAAGACGTTCCTGTGTTGTTCGCAGCGAATTTGTTTCAAAATGGCCAGATGAGGGCGGGGAAGTCCGTCAGGTTGACGCAGCTAGCTGGCTCAAACAGCCCTGGATTTCCTAGGTTTGGTCCAGGCACAAGGGGCCAAGATCACTTACGACATCAGCATGGCTGTTCGAGGCCCTGAGAAGTCTTTTGTGGGCCAGGGACAGAACCTCTAGCAACAAATTGTGCGTGCAGCTCGGTCGGCCACTTACTTGCCGAGCTGGTGAATAGAGTCCCTCTCTCTCTGCCGGCTACAGCCAATCTTGGAGGGAACATCACGCCTGGTCTTTTGAATTTCAAGACGACGTGGGGACATCGGACATTGTCTGCAAGCAACTGTTGCGGAGGGTAACCTTTGCACTGGCATCTCCTGGTGCTGAGGACGGGAGACATGAGCCAGGAGGATTGCTGCTCGGAGACAAATGGGCAGCCTTTGGTGGCTGGAGATTTTGCCCGAAGCTGGCGGTGTCACAAGCTTGACGCGTTCTGCACCTGGCTTCCCATTGGTAATTTCCAAGGTCACCTGCAGGTAAAGCGTGAGGGTTCCCGCATGACAAACTCTGGGCGCAGTTGATGTGAACGAAGGTTTGGGGCGCTGGCAGTTCAGGTGGCGTGCTCCCCTGTCGACTCTGTACGAGCTTTCTTTGCAGGGTACCAGGGCAGCGATGCAACCGCGCAGCAGGTCGATGTTCAAGAAGAAAGCCCCTGACAACGAAGGTGATTTGATTCGCAGGGCCTCAGCGGCTCTTTGAAGCGGGGATTCTTCCCGCTAGAATTCAGGCTGCGTGTTTGCTAAATTTCAGGTTGGAGCTGTACCTTTGCAGCGGAAGCAAAGGCGGCGACCTAGGACACGTTGCCCAAAGACTTCGCCCAGATTCAGGATGCTCAGGAGGGAAACGGGCACCGCGAGACTTTTCGTTGGTTAAAATGCATCTCGGCATTGGATCGCTGAGGTTGGTACCTGCTCTCGGAGTCCTTCACACCGCAGGGCACCTTTTTCGAGCAGCAGCAGAGGTTGGGCAGATTGCTGCGCTGCCAGCTGAACGATGAGAAGAACGGGGCCATGGCCTTCCTCATCACCCAGGCGGGCCCGTTGTTGGCGCAGGGTACAGGGCTTTATCATGTTTCATTGCATAAGACTCAAGGCTCAAAACGAGTGATGCACTCAACCTCCGTGTTCCTTTTGTCCGGTGTTCGCTAAAAATCCCCGGCAGGACAGCGTAACTTCCGTTTGACAGTCGCGTGCATGATGAGCTCGCACGTGGGCGTGTCCTGCTTTCAAAGTACCCTTTTGCAGGATGTTGAAGACAAAAGGAAACCACCAATAACACTTTCTTGGTGGCCACCATTTTGAGTTCTTGCCCGCGCGGAGTGTGATGGTCTTCTTTCGCACATCATTGTGTAGCAGCAACAGAGCTCATGCCACAAGAACCGCAAAGCAGACATGTGTCAAAGGCTTTGTGGACAGACATCCCCATGTGAATGGTGTCCACCAAAGGGTCGCCTCAACAAACGAACACAAGTAACTAGATTTCTAGAAACATCGACATGCCAAGAATGTATTTGGGAGCAGGGGGTGCTTTGGATCTCCCAAAGCAGCCTGTGGAGGCCGCCTCGCTTTCTTTTTGCCCTCCGCCCGCTGGGCGGAAGCAAGGCACATGTTGAATCAGAAATCTCCACCCCAAAGCCCAGGGGGATGGGGTGAATAAACATGTGGATGTCTTAAACGAAAAAATAGTGAATGAATGAACATATAGCTTGACAAATCAATAAATCAATAGGCTAATAATTAGTAATTAGATACATGAATGAGCAACCACATACCTAAGTCTAGTACATACAGGTATCCATGCTAGTCGTCCTCCGGGAGTGTTTTAGAAATGCGCGCAGACACACACACACACACAACTTTTGAGGGGAACATTTGGGTCACTTTAGCTACCCAACAACGTGGTACTGTAATTTTCGGGCTCCGCCACGTAGGCAAAGTCTTCTTGCGCAGGCAATCACCCCAGGCGAGAATGGTAAGCTCCGCAGAAAGTCCAAGGGGGCACTGGGAGTAACACAAAAAGACACACAAGCCAGATTCACGGGAGAGCAACTCCTTTTTGAGGCCTGTGATGCTTTCACGAACGGTCGGAGAAGGAAGCCACCACGGAATCAATCTCGAGGGGTCTATAGTAGTGGAACCCCGGATTATTGAACCCAGATTGATTTTAATATGGGGGTGGCCACTAAAGGAATCCTTCCCTAGGAGAAACGCCCTTTAGTCCACCAGGGTTTGACACATTCCCTACACATCCCTTCTCGGCGCCAAGGCAGTCCACGAGCTCTTCGAGTTCCCCAGCTGGGGCCAGGAGGGCTTCAGGCGGAAGATCCGCCCGCTGTGTTGTTTCATTGTGTGTGTGTGTGTGTGCATGGGTACATCTTGAAATGAGGACCCTTCCAGAGGCAACCGCAGCAAGTGTTAGGTTAGGCAGTGGCCTCGTGTTAGGCAGTGGCCGGCAACGGTTCAAGTTTGTCCTGAAAGGAATTTACGCCAAATCAAGCTAAAAAACACTGTTGCGACTGTGCTGCTTTGTCGATCATTGTCATAAACGAGCGACCCCTTTGGATCTCTTTTTTGGAAGGTAGCCAACCTTCGGAAGGGTCGCAACCCAAACGAAGCGAGAACTACTAGCCGAGCAAAAAAACACTACTGGACCAAAGGAGGTCGGCTGGCTCTTTGCGGAGCGCCTTCGGGATGTCAGGCTCCTCCCCCCAGTGAGGTCGGAGTCCCTCGCCTATCAGTCAGTCTTTCTCGTTTCGACCTTCAGTGCCACCTCAACTCTTCCAGGGACCTGTCCGCACAAATTCCTTTTCTGAAGGTAGGCTGCACACTAAATCAGAGCTAGACAAAGTCCTTTTGTGCAGGACAGGGTATCGTGCAACCTCACGCACCCTCAAGCTGCCTCATGCACCGTCACTCCATCACTCAATGCAGTTCATCGTTTCAAGCCTCAAGTGAACTTCCAGCGAGAATTGCGTTGCCATTGCCCGTTCTGATCCACTTCCGGCAGGGTCAGCAGTGGCAGCGCGGGCATGATCATGGCCCTGAATCTCTGCGGGGTGGTGGATGCCTACGACATGACCAGCTCGGAGCTGTCGCGTCAGGTGGGGACCCAGGGGATGCTGGCCTTGAATGACTCGGTTGGTATTCGCAATCCAGGTGAAGGGGGTGATTGGATTGGAGTGGCAGCTTTGCCCTTGATAATATAATCCCGACGCCACACGACCAACTACTGCAAACGGATGCTATAAACCATCAAGGAGGCATGGAAGGCTTTGAAGAGTTGAGACCTATTTTATTCTTTGAATGATGACAGGAAGTGCTCACCCTGTTTCAGGCGCTGTATCACTACTACGACAACAGCTCAGGCAGAGTGACGCTGGGTGCGGACTGGAAGATTTCTCCGGTTGACGCCTCATGGCCAGTGTGACGTGTGGTACTTGCCGTGTTTTTATTTTTATTTTGCCAAAAAGGTCATGTTTGAGTTCCGCCCAAGGAGGGAAATCAAAGAGCAACTGGCCTAATGATCCCCAAAAAGGGGCAGCACGTTTTGCCCCTCCAATTGGCATGCGGGGTTGGCTCCTCTTGCGAAGGTGTCGGTCTGCGTGGCCTTCAATTCGTGCTCAAAGATGGGGTCCATGAAATAGCAGCAACCCTGGAAACCTTGGCAAACACCAAGCCCATGGCAAGACCATGCCCCCAAGACATCCGTAGAATCATGGTCAGGCATGTTTTTTCCCACATGTTTGGGATTGGGTCGGCACTCACACAGACATGCACACACTTGTACTTGAGCATGGGAAGCTGGCACTTTGGAGTTTCTGCGCCTCGCAGGCTTTGGGGATGAAAACTGGCACCACATCTTCCATGCGGAGCAAACCCTTTGGGAGCACTTGGCGGAGCCTCCGACTGAGGCCGGGAGAGGGCGGAGATTCGTGGGACGAGAGCCGTTGTGGTTGTTCGGATTATCCAAAGCACCAGCTTGAAGTTGAGGAGGAAAAGAAGGCAGCCGACGTCATCTTCGCCAGGCCGAGAAAGCCAAGGGGAAGATCTCCATCCTGGGCTTTCCCAGCTTGGACTGCCAAAAGCAGCCTGCGCTTCCTCCGAGGTTGCCGCTGCCTGCTGGCCTCGCCTCGGAGGTCGTCCCGCGTCTCGGCCGAAAGGGGCGCCTTGTTTTTTTCCTTTTTTGAAACCCGTGTTTGGCTGGTTGCAAAGGGAAATCAGGGGGGACACCCACCAATTTCTCTTGATTTTGAGGATGTAGCGGGAGGCGTGTTGACATTCAAGCTTGAGTCGTTTTAGGGGTTCCTTGCTCGTCACATGTTGCAGAGGGGGGTCCAGGGTGGGGGAGGCGCTGCCCGCTTTCGCGAGCCGAGGAGGGTGCGGAGGAAGGGCGGTGTGTCCATGTTCATCGAAACGCTTTGTGCCACTTGGGCGCAAAATGGGCGAATTGCGGAGAGGAAACTCCAACAAAAAGGAACGCTTTTTGCCATGGCAGAAAATCTGGATGCCCTATTGCAGCTTGTTGATTTTCCTTTTGCATGGCCACAGGCCAGGGTTTTCATGCGGGGTCGTGCTGCTTGGACCCGGCTGTGGAACTGGAATGCCTCTCGTGGCGCTCTGTGGAAGCATGTGAGGCTTGCTCCCCCCTTAGGGTGACAATGTTGTGAAGCAACATGCCCTGCGGCCTCTTGTGCAACAGCACATGGCAAAATTGATACATCTTAACACGCATGACCACAGTTTGCTCGATGCATGTGTCTCAACAAACAACACAGATGAGTCATATCATATGAGTATCATCCGGCCCGCAATTTCCTCAAACAAGTGACCTGGTCCTCAGCCATGAGCAATCGAGCTGGGCTGGGCAACCTCGTTCTTGGTTGTTTGAGATTTCTGGAGTTGGGAAGTTCTGGGCGGCCTGCTTTGTAGTGAGGGATTGCAAGGTGTGAGGAGTTTCCAGGACTATTGCCAGTTCTAAGCTCTAATTTTGTTGGAGGCCTTCAAACAAATGGGACAGGCTCAGATCTCGCATGAAACGAAGCCGTGTGCAAACTCTGGCGCTTGCAGACGCGTGCCTCGCTCTGAGGTCCTTGGTGCAGTGCTGTGCCTTGCGAAGGCCTGGCGCCGTGGCGGCCAGGCGCCCCATTTCGACCGCATCCTGGTGGTCTACGCCTTTCGGCCGGAGTGGGGGCGGAGGACAGAGAAAAAGAGGATGGGGTTCCAGGGGTTGGGAGCTCGGCCTTGAGACGTGTGACCCTTCAGGACCTTAGGATTGACCTGAGATGCGTTCTTGTGAAAGCCACACAGTGGCTGTGGGACAAGATGACAGGTTTGAAGTGTGGGTGTGAGGGGGGGGAAATGTCACCTGGTCACCGGCCATTTTGGCTCAAGGTGCCAGGCCCCCTCACATCCCAGTTTGATGTTTTCCTCCGCGGGCCGCTATGTCGCTTTTCCCCGATGGAGCTATTGCTGCGCGATGGACGTCGTTAAACGAGGTCCTCACCTGGTACAACATAGACCAGGGTGTTTGGCTAGCTTTCGTTGGGCGTGTGGGCGATCCGGGAGATTCGGTTCGTTTGATGGCCGCTCTCCCGGAGACGGCGTTGCTGGAGGGTGTCAATCACGCGGAGTTCTCCGACGGCACGCCCCTGTCTATGATTCAAGCGGCCCATGTGGGGTTGGTTTGGCGGTGCTGCAGGAGAATGGCTTTCACTTCTGGTGGTGGAGCGTGGGACGACTGGAGGGACACGGATCCGTGGCAGCCGTTGCAGGCGACCATGGTGGCTGGATCCAGCCAAGGGGTTTCTGGCGGTGGTGGTTCTTTGTCTACACCGACCGGTTCGGGAACGGCAACAGGAAACCACAACGTGAAGGAAAGGACGGTCAAGATGTCGGCTGTGATAGATCAATCAGACGAGGGGGAGTTCATCCCGGTGACCATGGACATGTACGACAGTTGGGTGCAGCGTTACCTGACCATAATGGGCTTCAACCCGCAGGACGAGGAGGATCCCACGTTGGAGCAGTTGACGGCACTCTTCAAAAAGGTCACGGTTCAGGAAAACCCGCCGTTTGTCGACTTCGCTGTTTGGGTCCCCTTTGGGCGAAGGGCTTTGAGGGCAAACAAGTTTCGAACCTGGTTGCCTTCGGGAGATGGGACTTATATCGCCAAGGAACTCCCGGGGCCAGGAAATTTTCAGCAGTGGTTGGCATCTTGGAGAGTGTTTCGGGTGGCCTCCTTGATGTTGGGCATCCTGAGTTTGGCGGTCTTGGAAGGGTACGAGAGGCACGTGGAGAAGTTGGTAAGAATGTATCCCACGGCATGGCATTTGATCGTGGCGGCCGACGAGAAGGCCAGATCCGAGAAGTTGATCAAAATCAAGCAGAAGGTCCTGGTGGATGCCTCCAACGGCAAGAGGCCTCCGGATGGATGGGAACCCAAAAGTCCGTGGACGGCATTGCTCTTGGAGGACGAGGGTTTTTGGGCCCATCACGTAAGGCATCCAGCGACTGCTTGGATGGCGGCGGGAGGTCGAGGGGTGGCCAAGACGCCGGTAGAGGAGTTCACTCAGATGCATGCCCCGGGAGACCCCAAGAAACGGCAAGCGGAGGGCGGCCAAGAAGAAAAGGTGGGGGGAGGAACGAGACGAGAGCCTCCGAGGCAAAGGAAACGCAGGCAAGGCCCCCAAAGGTGGAGGAAAGGGTTTGAAGGTCAAGGACAACCAAGGGAACGATCTTTGTTTTGCATGGAACAATGGTCAAAGCCCGTGTGCAGGAATCGAGGCGGGTGGGGAGTGCGCAGGTCACATCAAGCGAGTGCACAAGTGTCAGATATGTTTGTCACCTTCCCATCCGCAGACTCGTTGCTCTCAGAAGAAGGGGACTTAGGCACGATAGCATCGAGCTCTTCTAGAAGGGCAGGTGGAGTCATGGCAGAGCTCGAGGGCACGGTCGCCATCGGAGAGAGCTTTGAGGCTCGACTTCAAGCTGCACGGCAAGAGGCAAGAAGCATGAGGGAGTACGTGGAAATGAGGCCCTTCAAGTTCTTGCACCATTTTGCAGAAGAAAGGGATGGCCTGGCCGAGGAACTCATGACCATGGCTCAGGAGGTCTACATGCGGGTATCAATGGTGAGTGTGGACAGGCTAGGAGAAACGGACCTGTTGGCGGAAGAACCCTACACCACTCATTTGAGGGGGATGCTGCTGGGGGAGTATGATGCCTTCCACTCGGGTTTCCCTTGTTCGTCCTTCTCCAGGTTGAGATGGAAAGAGTCCCCAGGGCTTCCAAAACCCGTTCGTTCCAAGGTCTTCATTTACGGACTTCCTGACAATGACGAACGCCAACAAGCTGAAGCTGACCGGGGAACGTTGATGGCTGTCAGGTCGATCCGAATGGCCAGGGCGATGCAGCTGAGGGCCAAGGCGACAGGGAGTCGACCAATAGCAACGTTAGAAAACCCCCCGGATGGAGGACACAAGCTTGCGGGCAGCGTTTGGGATCTGCCGGAGATGAAGGAGTTCCTGCTGGAGGAGGGGATCACGGTGGCGGAGTTTAACTCCTGCCGCTACATGCAGGATGAAGAGATTAGATTCTTCAAGCCGCAGGTCTTCGCGGGGAGGTTGGACAACTTGAAGGAGCTCTCTGGAGGTTGCTTGTGTGGGGTCGGCTTCCAGCACACGCCGGTGGTTGGCAAGGAGATGTCCTTGAGAGCGGGGGCATACCCCCGGGAGTTATGCAGGAAATACGCGGGGTTGGTGCTGGCGTCATGGATGAGAACGGCCAAAAAGGAGTGGTTGACTTTCAGAGGGATGGAGCTGGTTCAGGAGATAAAGGGCACCTCGGCGAAGATCAAGCCGGCTCCACCAACATCGCAAAGTCCCGAGCTGGCCGCGGGCTCCCAGGAGTTGTTGGACTTGGACCTCAAGTCTGCCCAAGAAGTTGTTGAGATCAAGAAGCGCAAGAAACATTTTGCGGAACTGAGATGGCAAGGCGGATCAGGTCGGCATCAACAATTGAAGGCAGCGGCGGAGCACTCCAAGAAGGCGCGGCGGGAGCTGGAGAACCGAGAGGCCATAGGGGGCATGAGGAACCCGGCGACAGCGGTGAGGAGGTTGCCGGCATTGAGATCGGTCGGCGAGAAGGTGGCCGATATGTTCGACAGCTTCGTGTCGGCCTACCCGGACGCCCTCAAGGTGGCCACCGAGTATGGGTCTGGCGATGCGGAGGGCGACCTGAGGATGGTGGAGGTGTGGCGTGATGGGCTCGTGAAGTTCTTCAACACCCAGATCATGCAGGATGAGTTGGGCACGAAGTTCAAGTCCCCGTTGCAGGCTAACCTGTTGGAGGCGTGGGCCTATCGGGGGGCGGACCCGGAGGCTTATACGGGACAATGGGTGAGACAAGGAGCCCCGTTGGGAATGAGCGTGGAGATCCCGACGTGCGGCATCTTCCCTTTGGTGAAGGAGGAAGACCAAATGAAGATCACCCCTTGGAGGAGTTTGGAGCCGGAAGCGTGGGCGGCTCTCAAGAACTACCCGTCCATGGTGGAGCATGAGGATGCGGCGGCGGAAGAGGTCGACCGCCTGATCAAGAAAGGGTATGCGTGTCGGATCTCCAAGGGGGAAGCGGGCGCGTGGCAATCTGGGACCATGAGCAAACTCAGCATCTTGCTCAAGGAGAAGCCCAACGGGGAGGTGAAGAAGAGGTTGATAATTGACTTGCTGCGAAGTGGAGGCAACGACAAGTGCGTCACCCCGGAGAGAATAGTGCTTCCTCGCCCTGATGATGTCATCAGAATGGTCAAGGATATGAAGAGTCTGGAACCGAGTTTGCTGCAGAAGTACAAGGAGCTCGGTATGTCCACGGAGGATTGGGGGGTGGAGCTCGTGATGGCGGATTTGTCGGACGCCTACATGCACTACGCGGGCAGAGTTGAAGCACTGCCTGACGCCGGACGTGATGGAGGATACGTACCTGTGCTTTGTGGCCATGCTGTTCGGGTTTAAAGCGGCCCCTTTAGTAATGGGACGGTTGGCAGCACAGTTGGCCAGGTTCTTGCAGAGCATGTACTCGCCCTCGGAGACGTGACCGTAACCTGGCGCTCATGTTGCTGACCATGGGCGCGTTGGGACTAACGTTGGCATGGCACAAAGGACATCGAGCGGATCGCCTGGTATGGATCGGCGTCACCTTCAGGCTGGACTGGGAGGACGGCTATGTGGTGGTGTCGGTGCCGGAAAAGATGATGAAGGAGATTGAGGCGGCCATCCGGGAGTGGGAGGTCAAGCAGATGGTGGGGCTCAGGCAGCTCCGCACCATCGCAGGGAAATGCTCCTGGGTGGCCGGCATCCTGAAGAAGGCCAGGTGGATTGTTTCCATCATCTATGCGGTGTTGACCAGTTGCCAGCGAGATGTCGCTGGTGGAGCCGAGGAGCAGAGACGGTTGAGAAGGAGTGACCAGAGGCACAAGGAGCATCCGAAAAGCCCGGGTTTTGCCGGTAACCTTGAGCGTCAGATCGGACAGCATGGTGGCCTTGGCGGTGGCCGACAAGTTGGCTAGCAGCGCCCCTGCCCTCAACTTCTTGGGTGCGGAGTTGGCGCTGATCTTGGAAAGGTTGAAGGTCATGGATGTGTCTACCATGCGCATCCCCGGCGTCTTGAATTTGATGGCTGATTGGCTCTCTCGCCCACACATGAGAGCCGAGAAGCCCGAGACGCTGGAGAAGGTAAAGATGAGGGCAGCGAAGGAGTTTAAGTTTGAACTCCCCACGCCTGGGGAACACCCTGGTTTGTGGGGAGGGCAGCCGTGCGAGGCATGGCTGGACCTCCATTGACGGGCTGGACCAAAGGAAAAAGAGGTGGGGTCCGAGGATCGGATCCGGTCCAGCTCGGCTGGGTCATGTCGCGGCGAGCCAAGTGAGGAAAGCGGGCGACAAGGTCACTTCAAGGCAGATGCGGCGATGGAAATATTCACCGGGGAGCGATTTGGTGGCTTCGGATGTGATCAAAAAGCTGTGCGGCAATTCGTCCAGCTCTACGGCACGAGGGAGGCAGGGCTCAGGTCGACTTCTTCTCGGTCATGCTCAAGTCGGTCGGTAAAGAGACGGTGGCGCTCCTCTTCGTCAAGGTCATCGGAAGGCATTCTTAAACCCAGGTCCCCCAAAACCTTAGGTGATGGTCGGAAAGGGGAGTGCAGGAGGTTGGGGGGTGGGCCTGGATTTCAACCTCGCAGGGATCTCCCCGTTTTGAAGAATAAGAAGAGGGGGTCGTTCAAGGACGGTATGGAGGTGATGGACGACGCAAAGAACTTGGAATTGGCTGTGGCGGACCTTCGCAAGGGTTTCTCGTCAAACTCCTCGAGGGCAGCAAAAGCCTCTAGGAGGAAGGAGGTCCTCGCCATGGCGAAGAAGGTCTGTGGTAGCAGACCCATTTTCCCCCTCCAAGAAAACACTGTGGTGAGCGTGGCAGCAGCTTTGTCGACCTCGGGTTTCAGGTCGGTCATGATGTATGTTGTGGAGCTCAAGCAGTTGCATGTGGAGAAGAAGTTCCCCGTGGAGGATTGGTTTGTGAAGCTGCTCACGGACATCAAAAGGTCGGCGACCAGAGGTCTAGGGCCCCCGAATAGAGCCCCTCTCATCGATGTGAAGGCGGTGAAGAGCAACCTTGGGTTCGTGGACGACAGGGAGGTGGCGTTGAAGAATCCAGCGGAGGTGCTCATGGTGGCTATGAAGTGGTTGCTGAGGGAAGTGGAGGTAGCTGCCTTGACACTGGGGAACGCAGTAGTGGACTTGGAAGCTGGCACTGCAACTTTGTTCTTGCCCGTGTCCAAGACTGACGCAGGTGGCTCAGGTGTGGCAAGGACTCTCAGGTGCTCTTGTAGTCGCGGAGTGAAAGAAGAATGCCCGGTTCACACACTCGAGACCCTGGTGCGCACCGGCGAGGTTCTCTTCAAGGTTGACCGCCGGAGCAAAGAAGCTTGGGGCATCCCGTTGTGCTGCAATCAGGACCTGGTCACGCCGTCCAAGAACCAGGTCGTTGATGCATGGTCATTCGTGGCAGGCTGCAGAGTTACAGGTCATTCGGCAAGGCGGTCGGGGGCAGTTGACTACGTAAGAAAAGGTCTCCCCTTGCAGGCCTTGTCATTCCGGGGCAGATGGAAGTCGGGCGTGGTGTTGAACTACGCGGAAGAGGCGTTGCAGGAGGTGCCCATCGAAACTCACTTGCCCATTCAGCCGGAAGAAGTAGTGGTCAACTACGAGAAGGAGGAAGTCAAGGAGGTGGTCACAGTGAAGGATCCACAAGAGTTGAAGCCCAAGTGGATCAAGAGAAGAGTAGCGGGCGCGGTGGTGCACAAGGTGGGTACCATCTCCGTGAGGATTCCGTCGACTGCATGGCAAACGGTGTGCGGTTGGCGGTTTAATCAGGTTGAGTTTTCGATCGTGGAGGACCCCACCAAGGAGTTCAGGATGTGCGCGAAGTTCGTGAAGATCCTGAAGAATTGGACGGAGTAGGTCGCGGATTGCCAGATGGGGAAGGTTTGGCGACCACTTTGCAGGGGGCTAAGGAGCTGAGCCTGGAGGTGAATGTCAAGACAAGGCCTTCATGTGGGGCTTTCCACATGGAGGATGCACGCCAAAAGAAAACAGAGCGCTCGCAGCTTGGAGGGTGGGTGGGTCTGAAACGACTCACCTGGAAACTTGTCGTGAAAGCCACACAGTGGCTGTAAGTGTGGGTGTGAGGGGGGGAAATGTCACCTGGTCACCGGCCATTTTGGCTCAAGGTCCCCCTCACATCCCAGTTTGATGTTTTCCCACCCACCCACCCAGCTGTACAGTTGCTGAGTACAGGAAGGGGAAGGTTTGGCGACCACTTTGCAGGGGGCTAAGGAGCTGAGCCTGGAGGTGAATGTCAAGACAAGGCCTTCATGTGGGGCTTTCCACATGGAGGATGCACGCCAAAAGAAAACAGAGCGCTCGCAGCTTGGAGGGTGGGTGGGTCTGAAACGACTCACCTGGAAACTTGTCAGATTGGGTATTCGGTCGAACTTCAGCCTCAGCGGGAAAGCCGTGGCCCGCGGTGCCTAAAGGGAGCGTGGGGCCATGATCAGGTGGCGCTGAACCTTGCCTTGCAGATGCTGGTGAAGCGAGAGCACGAGGAGAGGCAGCGCCCCAGCGGCAGTTTTGCGGTTTGCTTTTACTTCGCTTTGCGGCCTCCAGCATCATGTGGACCACCAGGATCACCTCCTGAAGTTTGGTCAGAAGAGAGCGGATATCAGCCATCGATCCCCATCCCCACAATCTTTTTGCACATGTGTGCATGCAGGAGGTTTGCATTTGCTCTCGTGTTCAAGGTTTGCCAGCGGATTTGTTCGGTGGTTTCCGATTTTCTTTGGCGCTAGCCTCACAGTCGAGTCTTCAACCGTGGTCGAATGATGACATCAAGTGATCCTTCTTTTCCGTTGCGTGGAAGATCGATCGTGCCCGCATGGTTCAGCGTCCATCATCACCACTACAAGCAGTCTTCTCAGCACCAACTGTGTTGACAGGCCGCCTAATCACTGTTTTTTTGGGGGTCTGTACTCGGCAAGTCGGCCGTCCAGCAGAATCTTTGTTGCCATGTGCCCGTTGTTGAGCAACATCAAATCCTTGCAGAAGGTAGGTACCAAATTATACTGGCCCTCCGCGTTTCGTATTCTTGGCCACACCGGACTTGCATGTGCTCGGTTACCTGCAAGCGATGGCGCCAAAGTGTGACAAGGAGAGATATCATAGTTAGCACGAACCTTGTCTGCCCCGGCTGTCCCAGAGTTAGACATCAGGGCGTTCTTGGCGGCCCTAGAAATGGTTGAGCAGCTCCAGGCATGACATTGGGTGCCAATTTGAGAATAAGAAGGCATGCGCTATCGGTGTGAAGTCCTTCTTGGCTCTGTGAGAGTTTTGGAATTTGGAGTTTGCTTTCAAGATCAAATCTTTTACGCAAATGGTAGTATAGTATCACTCCAGCGAGTGATGATGGTTGAGATACCAATACTTCATTTGGTGACATGTACTCACTTGTCATGTTCCAACATGATTGCATGGCCTCTCAATCGCTACCTTCATGTCACAAAAGAAGCGGGTGCGAACCATCAGCAAGTGTGCGTCAATGTTGGGCAACTACCTGAAACTCGGGCAGATGCAAATTGTGGCGAGTCAACATACATCATCATCATCTACAACTGCCATGCAGGCATATGGCCAGGCACTTCAACCGACACGAGTTAGCATGAGCCAACATGAAATGCAACCAACATCAGCCAACGCATCAAGCAAAACGTTTGGTCAGTACTCATCCACAGCAATCTGAGCAACGGCAAGCGCTAATGATCTCCAAGCAACGGCAAGCGCTTGTCCCTCGGATCCCTTTCCGAGGAAGCCAGCCGATTCGCCTTCCGAGGCAGGATTGCAATATGGATGAGGGGACAGTTGCTTCAAGTGGAAGGTATTCCGAAGCCATTCAACGCTTGCAGACTTAACTAGGTCGCTCAGTTGAAGCTTGAGGCAAGCCTTTCTGGTCTGTACCGGTCTGTACCCTCAGTCTGCGGTTGCTGGAGGATGACTACTTTCAAACATGGCTTTGCGGTGCCAGAAGGGCCATACGTTCGGGTGGACAGGCTGCGGACCTCACCAGGGCCTTGGTCATCACCTCCCTGGCCGAGGCTTTGAAGTTGCCGCTGGCCAAGAATTGAGGGAGGCGAGTGAGTGGAGCGTCAATGCGTTGCTGGTTTGTTTTTGGCACTTGGCTTGGCACATTTACAGCAAGACACCTTTGAATCAATTCTACTTTGTTCTATCAAGATAGGGTTAGAGATGAAGTCCTGAGGCTTGTGTCGCGCGCCATGGCGGACCAGCGGCTTTGCCGGGAGGCTGGAGAAGGGACCCGTGGGCTCGGCGGCGCATGAGCGGCTGGGGCGCAAACCCCCACCAAATTAAGCAACTTGTGTCTCCCCTTCCCACTGACCCCTGACCATCAAAGGTTCCCCTTTACTAGGGTTCTTTGGCTGGGCATTCATGGCACTTAATCATTTGGGCCAATCGCGGTGTGGTGTCGTACTTGGGTCTTCTGCCCAGTTAGTAAGTTGTTGGTAACCTAGCTTATAACCCGTTATAGGTCCCCAACCTTGTCATTACTGGGTTATAATCCAGGTGGCTAACCACTAACTAACTTGGCCGAACATCCAAGTAGGTGGTCATCATGTTTCTGTCTTGGCAGAGAGGAGTTGCCACGTCTTTGGGTGTTGGCATGCGAGCTTGAGGATATGGAGGATGAACACTGACGAAATGTAGATTTTTGCCTTAGCGTGACCCTCTTTGGCCGCAGTTTGTCAAGGCTCGCAATGAAAGGCTCAAGCGAGAAGCATGTTCAACATGCGGTCGTTGGGTTTGAACTTCCGACGCCTTGCGTCTAGCACCTTGAAGGCTCACCGGTGGCTGGGGGTGTCACATGGCAGTCGGCGAGAGTTTGCCGGCGAGGCATCAGTTTCAATTCATAGCCTTGCAGTGTACATATACGAGGAGATCAATGGGACTTTTCCTGATATCTTCAAGCAACTCTACGAGCGTGTGGATCTCATGGAATATCCCAACAATGGGTCCATTACCATGGTTTCGGTGGAGGATGCACATGTGATTGTTGAAGATATCGGTGCCGATGCTGGCAATTTGAGCGACTTTTTGGCCGAGCACGAGCAGTTGGAGAAGTCGGTTGGCTTTCCGGCGGCTGATGAAGCAGTGACGTCATGGCGGCTTCGGCACCCGCGTCATGCACGACATGGCTTGAAGGGCGCCTTGCCAGATGATTTGGCAACAACAGAGACGTCGGAAGAGGATTTACCCACCAAAGAGCTTCTGGCGAATTCCAAGCGAGAAGCGGTCGGTATTTACTTCAAAAAGCGAGCTGATGGCTACATGGTTTACTCTCGAAAGGGAGCGACGTTTAAGCTGACAGACAAATACATGAAACAGCGGCCAACGGATTCTGAGTTCAATGTGTGGTACAACACAACCAAGAGTGAGGGGTGGCAAGCTTGTACCGGAGCGTGCGCAGGTCACAAGGCGGTCATGTGGTACAATGTTGAAACTGAAGACGCACCTTTCATCCCACTGAATCAGAAACAGTTTGGCTGCATAGGTTACTGCCGGATGGCAAGGAAGCACCAAGAGAAGTGAAAAGGGTCCCTTTGCCCGGCTGCAGCTCTTCTGGAGCCATTGCTGTCCTCTTTTACGGTACGCACAGAGTACCCATGAGTTCAAAACGCTTTGTTGGACTTTCTCAGCAGCACGACTATTTCTTTGCCGCGCTCTCCATCCGCCCGCTTCACAGCCTGCCTGCATGTCCCCCTACAACTCCAGTCCTCTTGGAGCTAAAACCATGTACTCCCGCCCAGGCATGGCCTTGGGCTATCCTGAGCAACATTCCTTCTCAGTCAAGGCTGCCCACATCTTCACGTCTTTGTAGTCAGTTGGATTCTTGATCACAGGGATGCCTGCATGAGGAGCTTGGAGCGTTGGAGTCGTCCCAAGTGAAGTAACTTTGAACAAACGGCGGGTTTTGCAGCAACACCTGGTTTCATTCCTGGAACCTACTTGAGGTGGCGTTGCCAGCTTCCTGAAATAGGGCACCCGCAATTGGTTGGCGATTACTATCTGTTCTGTTCACAGGCCATCCCAAGTGGGATGCCTGTTTGCAAAAGCATCCGTTTGGGGGCATTTTGCTTGGAGGGAGCCAGACGTGCGTAGGGCTGATGAATTTGGTATAGCTCAGCTAGTTTTAGTTTTTGTTCGGGGTTGTTTGTGCGACCGCTCCCTGGCCTTGAGAGGCCCTCTGGATGATGACTCCTGGCGCGATCATCTACACGCTCAACAACATGCAGCTTGGTTTTCAACGATTGACAGCAGCCGGTTGATTTATTTGTGGGTGTGAAGCATGGCCTATATAATTGGATCGCGCGTCTGGTGCCAGCAAGCAAGGTGTGTGGCCCTGAGTGAGAGTCTTGTCTGGGACAAGCTTCTTGATCATCTTTTGTATTTGGGCCACAACTTTGAGGCAAATCGGATGTTTGAGTACAACCAAGGCTTTTCTTTTCAGGAGGGACATTTGTTCACGATGCCTGAGTATGACATCCTTTGCTAAGCAATTACTTGCCAGAGCGTTGTGTCGAATCTTTGGCAAGAAGCAAAAGCTCATGCGGACATTGATTGAGGCAACAACCTGACATTCTTTTTTATTTCTCTCTCTCTCTCTCACACACTTTTCCACGAGCAGAGCTACGCACTTGGACTGTCCCTCCAGCGGCAAACGAGTTTTTGGGCTCCTCGGTAAGCTTGAGAAAGATGCAAAGACAGGCAAATAATTGCACGCGAGCCTGGCATCTTGCAGAACCCAAAGTTATTGCAATGGAACTGCGGCCCAAAACCTGACATGTTTCCCTGATGGTTGCCATGCTAGGTTGGCCAACGACTTCGGCCACCATGGTTTACCTTTTTTGGCTCCTAGGAAAACAAAGTCACTTGGGGCTGCAGGCCTGCAGGGCATGTTTACTTCCTGCAAAAGCGGGCCAGAGATGAAGCTCGCTTCCAACTGTCTTGCATGGCCCATCTTCACATATTCCGGGCCCGGCCGAGACTCGAGCGAGGCTGGCCATGTACTGCGTCTCGGTGCGGGCGTTGAACTCGGCGGTGCTCTGGGCGGCCGCTCGGAGTTGCCCGAGAGCTGCCATGTTCGCCTGGCTAGGAATCCGAGGGGAAGCCGCTTGTGTAGAAACCTGAGTCATTTGATTGGCCTTGATGTGCATCTCGCAAAGTAGATCGCCGAAACTAGAAGCTTTTGAGGACCCTAAGTTGGGGGTATTTCCGAGTTTCTCTCCCTCTCTCTCTCTAACATGTGCAAATCGAGAGGATGTTCGGTTGATTTACAAGCATCAACACGCAAGAAGACTCCCGGCCAACATCTGCCACGACGAATCAAACAGGCGATTTCTGATTGCCACGGCCTAAGCCTCTAAGGACACCAACATCGTCTTTGGGGCCTGCTTTTGGATGCTCGCCTTCCGGCAATGGATCTGCCAGAAGCTCAGCGGGCCTCAAAGGTTCGGATCTTGCGAACGGGCGAAAATGGGTCGAACCTGGCCTCGCCGCACGTCAGATGGATTTCCCTTGGAGCTGCCAAAGTGGAGACATCGCTACGAAATTGGGACAGGATTTTGGCAACTGCATAAGTTCTGCTTCCAATGGTGCTCGCTTCCAAACAAAGGCTTGGTTGGCATTCTCCTGCTTCTCTTGGTTCTAACTTGCGGTATCTCCTGTGGGTGTGTGTGCAATCCAAGCAGCTATGTGCTGCTTGTTTACCATTTCCCTGTCCAGAGTCATCCCAGTCGACCAGTCGACTTTTGGGCGTGTCCTGATCTGCCTTGGTTTGGTCTTGTCTAGCCCGAACATCCAGGCCACACCAGCCCCATCCAACTATCCCAACCACCAGCCGTAACAGAGCGCAGATTTAAAGCAGTCCCTGCAAGCAATCTTACTCAATACAAGCCGCCCCTGTTCAACCGCAGGCCAGACTTGACAGGCTTGCAAAAGGTTGGCGACCTGACACCGAAAAGGTGCTTTTTTCCAGGACCCCTTTTGGATGAAGGGAAGTCACAAGGATAGCAATGTGGCTCGCCCGACGGTTGGACACACCAACATCTCCGCGTCAACTCGCCTTTCATGCGAGGCCAAGAGCGGTGCCTGGGCCTCGCCTTCGTGATGGCCGGGGCAGAGAGTCCATGGGGTGTGGAGATTCACCTATCCCCATTCCGTGCCTTTGCGTGTCAATGCCTCACTAACTGCATACAAAAACAGAAAAAACATGTATATATATATATATATGTACATATGTATATATATATATATGTATATACATACACATAGTTATACACATATGGTAGAGGTCAGCAATATATATATATATATATATCTATACACATACTTACATATACATGCATGCTACCCCGCCAAGGTTGTGGCGGTTTCACTGCAGACACCAAACCGTTTAAACAACTAGTGACATTGCCTGTTTTAACTGGAGTCCACTTCAATTTCAGACGACTATTTTACTTCGCTCAGAGCGTGTTCCCCTGGATGGAAGACTGAACATTCAAGATTCCACATCCTCCATCCTGGCCAGCCCTCAAGCCCCACCCCCAAAAAACTCATTGTAAAGCTTTTCCCACCTGGATTGAAGATCCCCCACATTTTGCGAGAGTCTTCAATCCTGGCCAGCCCTGAAGTCTCCCAAAAAGCTGATGGCTTTGGGGTCTTTGCCCAGGCTCCGGGGTGGACCGGGGCTCCCCGGCCAGGCCGGCTGTGCCTTTGATGGGCTCGGCGCGGGCGCGGACTGGCGTATCAGCTTGCCGCCGGGCGGCATTTGCAGCGGCTGGGGGGTTGCAACCAAAAAGGTGAAAAAGCTGCGGTGGAGGTTCGGGTTGAAGCTTTCTTAAGGCAGATATGATGTAGCATGCTGAGGCTGCTCGCAATCTTGCCGTGCGATGTCAGATTCATGCTTGGTAAGTATCAGTCTAGCGCGACCGAGCTCATCCATCCATCTGGAGCTTGAATCCGTGTTGTTTGTTTTCACCCTGCACTGTGTTTGGTTGCGGCTTTGAGGTCCGTGCTCTCTGCCCTTCTCAGAGTCTGGGCTGAGAGCTGGGATGCGACGGGGCATGCGCAGATTGCGACTGATACTGGGGCTTGTCTTGGGAGGTAAGCGGCGTGTTTGATTTGTGATATGTGCCAAAAGACCTACTTATTTGTGGTCGCTAGAAATGGTCATAATTTGTTTGTTGGATGACACAACTGGTTAGGATTCCTGTTGGGAGGGAACAAGTTGTAAGGGGCAAGCTGGGTAATATCTCCTGATTCGGCATGATGCTATCATTTTGTGTCCTCATGCCAATGCACAGGGTTCCGAACATTTTGAAGACTCGCAGCTCTTGTTGGAGTCAGTCTCAGCGCACCACTTGCTTTAGTGCTTTTCCCTTGCCAATCACCAAGCATTTGCAGGGGCTCTATTTGTAGGCCACTTGTATTTAGGCAAGATCAAGGAGGCATCCTGGACCCGGGCGTTGCGCTTGAGCAGAATTCTGGGACTCTTTAAGCGAATCGAAGGCTTTGCGCAAAAGCGCAGTCTTCTAAAGAGGTCTCTACAAATCGGAGCTTGCAGTTTCAAGCGCTTTCTCCAAGTCCATTCAGAACTTCTACCACATCCCAGGCTCCCTGGGGGCTGTGGTCATGGAACGCGCCGTGAAGTCCGAAGCCTTGAAGGATCGGGGTTCCATGATCTTGGAAAGCCGGCAGCTCCCAAGCTTGAAGGGTGGTGCGAAAGTTGGAGGTGTTCCTCGATGGCTCTCTTCCTTTGCTGGGGCGGCCACTTCGGCTTTTTGAGAGAACTGGGGAAGTGACACCGGTAGGGAGGTGAGAGCTGCAGGCTGGAAGACGTGGTGCCACGGGGGGACCTTTAAGGTCTTCTTGGATTTGGAGTTTGAGGCAGCAAGTCAGGTTGCTTAGGCAACAGTTGTAGGGGTTGATTCCCCATTATTTTCATCATCGTTTTTTTGAATCACGCCCTTCAACCGTGCTCAACTGTTTGCCTTCCATCCCCCCATGCTTTGTTACTAACGTACCATGCACCACACCAACTTTCTTGTCCTTCTATTTTTGCGAAAGTCGAGGATGTCCACACTTCAGTTCTGGAACTTTGTGCTCCCCTTGGCTAGGGAAAGGACGCGCATTGTTAGGGATCTCTTGACATCTTGCATGACGGCACTCCGACTCGTTTCCGTGTGAAACAGAACTCACCGCGCCTTCAAGCAAAACTACTCTGCTGGGATGCATCGCACATGTTCCGTTGGCAATGATCAAGGCCTTCGCCCCACTTCGCTTGCTTCTGGTATCGGTTTCCAGCCATCAGCATCCAGCCAGGACAAGAGCATACACTCCTTGAACGAGCATTTGTACGTCCAGACAGTTGCCTGGGCCTTGGGGTTGACCAAGACCACATCCTTAGTTCTAGAGATGTTGCAAGCAAACTTGTTGACAAAGGAACACGATGCCTGTCGTTGCCTGGAATCCATCAGACTGCACTGACATTTGGCCTCGAACTCTATGCAAAGTGTTGCTTTTACGAGCCCATGTGCGGCAGGCATCCGCTTGAGGCTTCTGCAAGGCTGTTGGAGGTGGCCAAACGATGCCTTTAAGTTTTGGGAAAGTGGTGGAATCATGCCCAACAAAGGGTTTTGTTCAATGTAAGAAGAGCTGCTTTGGTGAAGATTCTCAGAATTTTCTTTTTCGCCACGAGTGGTCTTGAAAGAGGTCGGAACCAACACACATCAAGTAAAGCTCATGATCTGCGGCCAGGTCCCAACAAGCCAATCGCAAGGTGCCACCCCGACCACCACCCCGCTCACCTGCCGTGAGGAAATCCAAGTGCGCCCCAAGTGATCAATTTCGACAAAGGAAAGATCTCGAACCAAGTCATGATTTGGGGGATGTGCAGTTTTGCTGCTTGCCGGTCTCCACAACGCCCTTCAATGCCTGGACCTCTTGTAATGCTGAAAGTTGCGGAGCCTTCCAAATGGTTGGCTTCACGCGCTGGCTCCCTTTTCAAGTCGGGGTTCCCAGTTTTGACATGTATTTTCTGTGCCGATTCAAGGCCTTCGGCGCGGTGCTCATTTGCGCGATGCTGGCGGCACAAGGCGGAGTTTTTTTTTTCTTCGGGGAAGGGATGTCTTGCGGGCTGGGGAAACTATGGGGACACTTGCAGGGAGAGACGGATCTTGCTCAGGATAAGGGTTCCAATCAGTTTTTATGTATACCTTGGGCTGGTCGGCGATTCTTCAGTTGAAGCGTGTCCAGCCCAAAGTTTGGTTGCTCCAGCCAAAACATGTTTGAATTTCTGGCAGGGGACTGCATGTACACAAGATTGAGACAGGGCTCCTCTTGGGGGGCACATTGTCACAGCGCTGAGACCTTTGTGAATGCGTGGTTTTGCTTTACCTCCCAACCGAGGTGTAGTCCAGAAGGTGTTCACGGTTGCATTCCAGCTCTTTCTCAGGGCTCCTTAAAAGATACGTTTTAGCCCATTTGAAACATTGCTTTTTCCACCAAAATAAAGGGACACCACCATTTAGAAGGCAATGTCCAGGTGTATAATGTAAGGATCCCTGTTTCTCTTTCTGTATTCTTTCCCGCACGTCTTCCTGCTCTTTTCTGGACTCTCCCTGCCATTCTTGCTTTTCTCTCCATTATGTTCTCCCTTCTCTCTCCCAGTCTGTCTCCGCTCTTCTCTCCGCTCTTTTCACCAGTCTCTTGTGGACATATGCCCTGCTCTTTTCCAAGCTCTTCTCGCTGCTCTTTTCCTTGCATCTTTTCCCTTTTATCTCCCTTCCTTTGCTTTTCTCACTCCTTTCTCCTGGGTGTCTAACCTGCTCTAAAGTTTTTTCTGGGTCCACCACAAGGTCTATGAAGTCTGATATTTGGCGGCATTCTTTGCCGTTGGCTTCAAGGATTGGCCTTCCCCATGGTTCACTCAGGCAACCCAAGGCTCGCAGCGTCAGGCCGACACCTCGAGCCCAGTGTGGTGAGGCGAGAGGGAGAAGTGGCGAGAACATGCCCTCACATTTTTCGTGGTTGTGTACCATTTGCAATGATTGGTTCACTTGCAGCATCTGAGCGATCTTGATTGACTTCACTGGTCTATTGAGAAAGCGGTTTCTGCTCCAAAGCCGCGGTTTTACAAGACGGTTGAACATGAGCGTCCGAAGTCAACATTTTCCGCATCGCCAAATCCTCCCTGACAATGAGGGTAACTCTGGCCACTGGCTTTGGAGACGCCATGGGTTGATTCTTTTGTGTCAGCATTCTTAAGGTAGGCATTCTTGTTCTAGAAGCGCAACTGAGCATTTGGCACCCTTTGTATCACAAGCTTCTTGTGATCATTTGCCTGGATTCTTAGACTGAGCATGTCAGCCCAAGGAGGCATTTTGGCTACTGGAAAGGTGGTCCACCGCAGCTACACAAGAAGCCAGCCAGTATGGCTGGTCACATGCCTGCGAAGTTGTGCGATATATTCCTGATGCAAGGCCTTCTAGGGCTGACTGAAGCCTTTGCGATGCCACTGTCAAGATCTGTGAAGCTACACAAGTTTTGGCCTCCAAGCCACTGCTGGTCACTACTGCAAGCCCGTAGCCAATCGCCAGGTCATTCTCCCCCATCACGGTGCTCATCATCATCCTGCAGGTTTGGATGGGACGGTCGGTCTCGACCGATGAAAGGGAGTCCCGCTTGGCCTTGCTTGGCGGATCCGGAGTTGCCAAGTCGGCTCAGAATGTGTCACTGTTGCCATGCCCATCTGGCTGCTCAGAGTCATTTTCCGGTTGATGCGAGAACGTTGGTTGCTTCTGAGACCTGAGACCGTCTTCTCTTTTCGCCTGGTTACTTCATTCTCCAGCAAGGTGAGGCAACCCAACCTTAAGCATCATGCAAGGTGTACTTGCTGAATTCCAGTGTCAGAAGCAGCGAGCCACACAGAGGAGCACAAGCTTCCCAAAGGAGCGCTTTCTTCAACCCTCACCTCAAGGGAAGCCAAAAGTCCGGTCCTTCTGCCTCCAGGCAGCGCTGGGCATGGCCGGGCGCCTCAACATGTCACGCGAAATATGGTCTGTACAACGTACAGGACCCCAATCGAATGCGCCTCAAAGTTGCTGTGTCGCCTTTACCATCCGCTAGTTTGGGCTGCGCCTTGTGTCTATTATTGGGCAATCCTCTTTTGGTTGCCTACGTAAAAGGCAAACCAACCCAAAAAGACATGTTGTGGGACAAAGTTTTTCAGCCTGCGAGCCAGTTGATTTGTTGAATTGAAAGGCTCAATGGGAAAGGATTAGACGACCTTTGCCAGCTACACAGAGGACAAAGGTTTCGCTCAGTGCAAGGCAAGCGCTTTCTCATTCTAGCGCTTGCCTTCATGACAGAATCTGGGAGTTTCAGTTTGCCTTGCCCTTCTTGGGCGTCCCATTGTTCAGGTCGTGATCAACTATACTTCAGCCATATCAAAGAGTAAGACTCAGCTAACCTCTGAGTTGCCAACTGTACAAGGCTCGTGCAAGCTGTTGCCGTTGGGAAGCTTTGTGCGGTCGTGGCCTGCTTCATCCTGGCTCTCCTCCCGCTCATGAGAACTGAAAGAAGGAACCTAATGCGCATCAACGTTGACATCTGAGTCAGGTTCTTGCACAGTTTCCAGTAGCTTGTGGTCCATTTGACTCACAAAATCCCACGAAAGTCAGGGAACTAGCCAAATTGCAGAATTTGACCCTGGCTCATCGAACAAAAAAGCCAGTTTTAATCTGCCGAAAGATCCTCTGACGCCACTCTTTCCGATGCATCATGTGACTCACTGAGGTGGTCAGCGTCGTGCTGAAGAAGACGGTCAGCGGGCCAAGGGGGGATGTCAAGCAGACGGAGGTGTGACAGCAGCTTTCTCCTCTTGATAAACTGCTAATGAGCGAGTTGTTTGAACTGCCGGCAACAAGAATTTGAAGGCGCAGTTGGTATGTTTGTGCACTGCGCTGACTATCCGGATCTACCAACAATCCCGCAAAAGGCTTGACCTGGGCACATCGCTCCCGGTCGAGCCATCAAGATTAAAAACGCATCAGAGTTGGCAAGGGACCGATCAGCAGACTGCAGTGGCAAGCGCCACCATTCCACGGCCCTCGGAATGATATGATCTAAAAGACTTTCCGACTTTTAGGCTTGGCCCTGTCGAACCTGATGATTTTTGGAAGGTTGAGGTGGTGTTTCAAGAGAATTAAGACCTTGCAATCAGACAACATCCAGCCTAAGGCAACGCTCGAACGAAATGCATCCAACAAATTGATGCAACCCTGCAGTTGGTTTTCTTTCACGATGCCCGAGCGCAGAAGGACTTCACGGTAATTAGCAGGAATGTGCAAAAGAGTTGAAGCAATGCCAAGAATTGTGACAGGCTTTGCCGGCTTTGCTGGTCCCTATGCCCAGCAAAATGACCTGGAGACTCAATTGTTTGCAGCGCTCACTTTGATATTATTCACCATGCTGCCTTCAAGCCCCAGAACCGCCACCACAATCACCAGGATCACAGGCCAATGCCTTTGGCACTCTAAGGACGCTGTGTCCAAAGTGGTGGCAAGCTGTCTGCGGCAGCCAGTTCTGGTCCTGCTTGCTGCCTGACTGCATCCGGAGCAATTCTCGGAATCACGCGACTTGAAATCCCAAGCCCGTTTTTAGGGCCCAAGGCTCAGGAAGAGTCTGGCAACTCGGGAAGTTCTAAACGATGCATTTTCGTTTCTTGCAGACATTTGGTTGCTCGTCGTGGTTGGCAGCCGTAATTGACATGCGGCTGCTTTGTTTTATGGCGGCCTGGGAGAAGGAAGCTCCCTCATCCCTTTGTTTTTGCATTTCAGCTTGTTTGATATCCTTGCAGGGTGCGCCATTGGACGGGATTCATGCCAGCGCCATCACGACATGACCAACCCTCGCATGCGAGCGAGCCGAATCAACGCACTGTTGCGACATGCTGGTATCCATGACTGCTCCCCTCGCCCTTTATGTTCATGTTGTCATTGGTCTTCCAATTCCGCAAGATAATTTGGTGTTCAGTTCTCCGGCAGTCGGTTCTTTGGCAGACTCCGTGGCTCGAGGCCGATGAATTTCAGTAGCCTTTGGTCAAGGTCCTGCATATGCAGCTTAACCCGGGTTGATTCCTTTGTTTTGAGCGTGAAACAGTATTCATTGATCACATTCCTGTCACCCGCTGCTGAAATTCAAACAGGGCGGCCGCGCATGAGGCTCCTTTCTTCGTCAGAGAGACGAAGAATGACATTATCTCTATCCAGCAGCTGGGCGGGCAGGTTGTGTTCAAAAGGGCCGGGGTCAACCGGTCAACCATTGTGCACTGCAACCTGAGCAACAATCTGCCCTCAAAATGCACTTAGCAACTGAGAGAGCAAATGTGGGCGGAGCCAACTGATCGGAGAACACTTTGTCCAAACTCATCACAGCAAGGAGTGAGGAATCAGGGCCATTCGGGCTTTGGAGTGTGAATTTGCGTGACAATGTCAGGCCCCGCAAGCTTCATTGGAAAGCCTTGTCTGATTAGCTTGTATAGGGCAAACATTGAAAATGGCGCATCTAGCGTCTAGCTGGATTTTACATGCGGCTAACCGTTGAAGTGTGGCTGGACCAGCTGAGGCTTGCTGTGAGCAGCACCCGAAATCACGGACAACAGTCAATAAACTGTTAGTCTTCGGACCTTTCATATAACGGGGGGTTTGTCACATTTTGTTGCCTGGGCTTGCCCCAAGAGCAGTTATTCGGAATGCACTTCTTTGTCAGTATTGAGGTGATCCCCGGCGAATCCTAGGCGGACGACGTTTTGCGCTGTTAAAAGCAAATCCCGTATTCTTCAAAGAGAGTGCAGATGAGCGGCACCTAGAAGCTGTGCTGGTTGGTTTAGTAGAGTCTGTACTCCCTGGTCTCATTGGGATCTGAGTGAGGCATGATCTTTGTGACCAGCTTACTAAAGCCAACAGTCCATTAATATTTGACTCTGCACACGCAGTAAATGTATACTACATATATATATATATACATCTACACATTTACACGTATACATAGTTATTCAGATCTACACAGATAGACATGCACATGCAACATTTTTCATATAATCATAGTTATGAACAGCGGCCTACAGACACAAAAATGTCATTGGCAACGGATCCCAGGAGTGCCTTTCTTGTGGCGTGCGGCTGCTTCTTGGCGAGACAGAGAGAGCGGGGGAGAGAGTGTGTTACAATGTTGCTGGCATCGCTTCGAAGTATTGCTGGTGCACAAGAATTATGGTATCCTGAGATTGCAAGATGGTTATCCTCATGCCTGTTGGGTACCCCTATGCATGCCCTGTCTTTGAGGATTTTCTTTTGGGTGGCTGCAGGGCAGACTTTTGCGGATCATGCTTTCGCCGTGCATACCTGTGCAGAGTCAGCTTGCAGGGAGCTTGCCCTTCTTCAGAAGAGTAGTTTTCGGTGGAACACGTAGGAGGGAAAGCCCGGAAGAATCTGTGCTCGCGCTGCTGAACAATATATGAACATCAGGTATCCCGGGCCCCAAAAGAGGAAGGGCCTGCTACGTTTTTTTTCTTTTTGGGGGGGGAGGGGGTGTATCTTCTTGCACGTTTTGTGGTCTTGCTGATTCGATAAGCTGTGGCTCAAAAAACCGGTACCAAAATGGGACCACCGCGTAACCCCTCCTGCTTAATTTTGAGCCACACCCAAATGGGTGTGGTCAAAATTAAGCCACCAGGGGACACAAGAAGACCGCAGGATTTAGTCCTTGTTTCCATTTAATTCCCAAATCAATCGGCCCGCGGGTCATCATGAAGAGCTCGACCGCCGACTACATGACCAGCAGCGCATGAACAAAACACTGCCATATGTGCCAGTGGGCACTTGCAAGCTAATTTGACCAGTCAACTTGGCAAGAGGACAGCAATCTGAGCATTTGGGTACAATCCACCGGGATGGGTTCGGACGTCAAGCATAGCAAATGCCGGCTTTCTTGATTTCTTTCCTTCTTCTTTTCTTTCTTTCTTTTTTCTTTCTCTCTTTCTTTCTTTCTATCTCTCTCTCTCTCTCTCGCTCTCTTGCTCTTGAGTGCAGCAGCACTTGGGGAGCTCAATTCCGTTTGCTCCGTTTCGCATGCAGCGGCTCTGCACTCTTCCAAGGCTTGATCTACTTCATCGCCAAGTCCAAACCTGCGCCAGAGCCTGGCTGGGGCTCTAAGAACTCGGGTCGGCAGTGCTGGTGCAAGCCGGGCTGAGACGTATCAACCCGATGAATTCCAGGGGTGGAGGGCAGGTGTTTGTTTGCTTGCTTGATTGCTTGTTTTCTTTTTTCACATGCCAAACCTTGGGAGGATCCCTGCCCAGCGGCGCAGAGGGGTGAACGTCATGAGGTTCGACAGACACTTCACTGGTTGCTACGCGCAGACTCGACAACATGTTTGCCTCGTTTGCCGTGGGGCTTGTTCCCCAATCCATGTGCTGGAGCCGCTTCTGGGCTGGTTTTCCATCCTAGGATTTTTTAGGGGGTCGGAAGTCGAAGCTTCTTGCTTGAAAGCACCAACCTTGGCATCTCCTTTTCTTTGTCAGCTCGAGAGGACGAAGGGAGCACACCCTCGTCAATTAAGGAGTTGATGAGCCATGGCTTTTGCTTTCTATTGTTTGCTTTGGATGCCAAGCATCGCCCGGTGGTTTGGGAGGACTTCTCATCGCTTGGAGAGGTGTTTGGTACATTCGATGAATGTCGCACGTTTTTGAATTGGTGCATTTCTCTGCGATGCTTTTGGGTTGCAACGTTTGTTTGTGGCAAGGTTGGCAAGGAGGGTTTTGGGAAGACGAGCTTTTGAGCCCGTCCCGGCGCAGAACCGCCTGCGCGGCCGATGGGCTCTGGGTACGAGCCTCGGAACGGGGTTCTTGGGTTATCGTCGTCGTGGATCCCTCAAGCCTTTGTGGCTTTGCTGACCATTGTGTTGATCATGTTCTGCTTGGGGTGGTTCTGGGGGAAGCGGTATTTGTCAGAGTAACGGTATGTTTGTCGTCCTTCGTTTGCGAATCAACAAGGCCTGGCATGCCCCGAATCAGGCCATATGAGAAGATGTCTAATGAGGCCATGCACCTCCCCTTCATGGATCCTTTTTCAGGGTACCATGACACTGAAAGCACTGTTTTCTGGACCCCAGGCTGCCTTTTTCGGGTCCAAGAGCAGAGAAGTTGGTAGAAATGGGTTGCTCAGAACTGGAGAGTGGGAAGCTGAGGTTCTCAAGGTGGCCGCTGCGGCTGAAAGCCGGGGTTGGGCCTGCCGCTCCACTCTGACGGCTCCTGACCTTAGGGGTTTAGTTGTTGAGTAGGCCGACCTGCCAAGGCTCAAGTTAAGAAGTTGAAACAGACCTGGTTGCTTGATGCCTGTTACGTGGCGACCTGCGGGTAACTGAGAGAGAGAGAGAGAGATTTTCAAGAGCCTTGGCCAAGCGGGTCCAAACGCGATCCAAGCCGCGCGCGCGACGCTCACAAGCACCAAAGAGAGGCGGGTTGAAACCAGGTCGGGGGTTTGCCTGTGCCCGTCAGATTGGGGTCGCTTGTGCCCGTCGGATTGGGGTCGCTTGTGCCCATCTCTTGTTGAATCTGTGCAGCGCACTGTGTTTCTCTCCCATTCTAAGGGGCCTTTTTGGGTTGGTTTTACGTTGGGAAACTAGCAGGGAAACCGCTGCCGTTGTGGTGGGTCCCCGACAAAATAACAAACCCACATGGCTTCCACAGACGTGGCTCTATAGATGGACAACCAAACCCAGAAAGAAATTCACCGCCTCCACGCTTTGACAGGACTTGGCCCAATGTATTGACTGGTTTTTATAGAGTTGTTAAGGGGGGACTCCCTAAGTTTCCCAATCAGGCTTCTAATCAGGATCCCTAAGGAACCCTTTTCGGGCTCTTCGCAGCTCACCCCCTCGGACCCCTCTTCAACAACTCTATCACCTTTGGTGTTCGAAGTTGCTGGGCCTCTTTGGAACCTTTGAGGGGTGACAACTGGCAGGAGCCGATGCTTTTTGGTTTATGTCCCATGTAGGTTCAAGCAAAGCACTTGCGCATATGAGGGATCCATGAAAAGACCTGCGGCTGCTTTGGTTTAGGTTTTTGGTTCAGAAATACTAGATTTGGTTAGGTAAGCTTCTCAGCGGAGCGCAGCACAGCCACAGACCAGCTCCTTGGGCGGTGCACGCTATTACCCCCCCCCCCCATCCCCCCCCATGGCTGCACGCTGTTCCGACCCCTCCCCGCCCACACCCGCCACAGCACTGCAAATGAGCATGGGCGCAAGTGATCCTTTTTTATGGGCGTATCTGACGCCTTTTAAGCAAAATGGGCGCAAGTGATCCCATGGGCGCAAGTGATCCCAATCGTGTGGGCGCAAGTGATCCCTCCACCTGAAACCAGCCCTGCGCGGCTGTGCTGAGCAGGCAAGCCAGGAGGCATTGCCCCTGCGGCTGGCTTTCTATCATGCTTTTGTTTGCACAACTCGTCACGGTTCTCATGTCTTTGCCGGTGGTATTTCTTTCGACTGTGTCATGTGCTGTTTGCAGCTTATGCAAGTATCTTTGCAGTTAGCTATGGCCCGTGTGCACTGGTCTACTCTGAGGTTAGAAAGTCGTGCGTTCACAACATACACCGGCGAGGCGCATGGGTTGGCGATTTTTGGGCTCCATGCCGGCGCATGTTGAGATACGCCCCGCAAAAATATGAGGACGTTCGCAAATCTGCCCCCTGTCGAGAGAGGAAGGGATGGAGGGACAGAGCACGTGTCCGAAAATGACCCTTGTTGCTCAATGCAGCCGCTCAGCCTTGCAAAGGGTTTCCTGAATTGCCAGCCTGCCGGTCAGGTATTGGGGAAAGATGAATTCCTTTACAAGAGTTTCACACTCGTAAACCAATGATTCTTCACCAGAAACTCGTTGGCAGATTCCTACGAACGAGTCCAACGAGGTCAGCTCGGATTCCTGTGCAGGTGCATGTGCACGACGTTTTTGGCTTGCCCTCCACAGTCAAGAGGCACGGACGTGGGCAAATGACATCGCGGGGTTTGCGACCTCCAGGATGAAGGTTCTTTTCAGGGCGAAGCCCTCATTCCTAGATTTTTGACATGTTTGCAGAACATATGTTTGTTTAGACCGGAACATGTTGAACAGACTTGAAGACCGCATGTTCTTTGTCTGCTGATTTGGTGCCTTGGTGGAGGCTTCATTCTTTGCCAGTCGCGGAAGATGAAGGGATCTTGCCGCACCTGGCTGTTCTCAACAAAGCCAAAGTTTCTGTGCACGGATAGAATTGCCTCGATGATCCCAGCGGCACTTGGATGTGGGACTATTTGCCAGCCATAAAGAGCCTGGCAGCTACACTCTTGCCGGCAGGTTGTATTCTCCCCCGAATTTGCTCTATGCCACTTTCTTCGCTTTCCTTCGCAGTCCAGGGAACATGAGTCCTTGAGTCATTCAGTGACCATGGACCATTTCCTTGGCTGCATCCCTGCAACAATTCGAGGGTCACGATAAAACCCGAGGAACGGAGGTCCCAAGCCGAACTTGGCATCGAGGCACGTGATGCAGCTCACCGTGGCAGGGGATTCCTTGCTCACTCTACAGGCGGAGGCTGGGGCAGGGTGGGTTGGGGTGGGGGGAGGAGCCGAAAGGAACTTAGGTTGAAGTTGTGCCAACATGCCGTGTGTTTGTCAGTTTGAAACAGAGCAACCCTGGTGCCAACACACGCAGATCGCAGATCATTGTTCAGAAAGTACAAAATCCCATGTCATGCCATCTTTTTTTTTGGTGAAGGTCAGATGGTGCCAGGACAAGGCACTGCCCGCTGCAGACCACGTAGGTTTGCAGACTTTTGGTCAGCTCATGTTCTGTTTGGTGGTGCAGCTCTTCTCTTGATGGTCGCGAGTTCTTATACTATATCCCGGGTTTGGGTGCTCAAAGAAAGGGTTGACTTGGTTTGTTGCAGTTGCTGGGGGTTCCGGGAGGTTCGGGAGGTTGTGGGAGGTTGCGGGAGGTTGCGGGAGGTTGCGAAAAGTTTGGGGGGTTCCGGAGGTTCCGGGTTCCATGAGAAGGGACTTGGCTGGGTTTCTTGGAGTGGGCGGAATGGTTTCCGGAACAATGCGGCCAGAAATCTTGCTCTGCGGTCCTGTTGGCACGTGCTTGTTGGCATTTGAAGGCTGTTGATTTTCTGCTTCGTATGCAGTCTCTGGTTGGCTGGGACGTGAAGAGGCAAGCATGTTAAACTCAGCAAGGCGAGCTTGAGTCATGAGCCTTTCCACTTCAGTCCTTGGCTGTCAGGTTCACAGAGACACACCCACCACCTTGGCCGTGGACGTCTTCCGCCCAGGTCCCAGAGGCCCACTCAGAGGCTGCAAGTGCACCATGACAAGTTGCGTGATCTCACGCCGGTGCGGGAACAGCACTCCTGATGGTGTGAGATCGAGGGCAGTTGTGATCGAGGCCAGAAGTACACTCCCAAAACATAGACAGGTCTGAAATGATGCTCTGACAGATGCAGTGCGCCCATGCCCCCCCCTACCCACTTCTTGGTCTTATGTTCTATTGATGAAAAAAAAAAAACTTCGGAACTAGGCGTTGGAAAAAATAATCGCGCAGTTTTTTTTCTTTTAAATTAAACTCATTTTGACATTTTTGGCGATTCTTTTTCCCCTACTTTAAGGGAATGTTTGACCTTTAAAAAAAAAAAAAGTGCTCTGGAGATACGGGTTTACAATGTGAGCGCATACCTATGAGTAGAGGCGACCAACTAGACATATTTTCGTTACAACGGCCGTGTAAAACACTACTAAAATGGGTAAACATCTCCAGATTGGGCAAACGCGCTGCCTGCCCCTGAAAGCGAAGGGGACACGCGAAACCCCGGACAGAGGGGCCTTCCAAAAGGCTTTTGGTTGGTGCAGTGATGGTTGGTGTGTTTCGGGCTCTATGCTAGCCTCCAAAAATGCATAATCCACGGGCAAACTTTCCAATGTTTGCAGTGTGCTTGCAAAACCAGACGTGTTTTCGTTGCAAGACTAGCTGCTTAGGGTGCAGCCTCCTATTCTGCATCACCAGCATTATCTGCAAGCATCATTTCAGACACATGAATTCAGCATGCCAGTCAGGAATAAAGCCATATCAATGCCCCAAAGCACCTCATGCAAATGTTGTTTTAGCGGCTGGAACTCGGGCATGAGAAGCCCGTATTGACAATGCTGGTGATGCAGGGCAAGGGGAGCCTTAGCTGCTGCCAAACAGTTTTCATGGAGGTGAGAAGCACACTCCCAAAACATGCACAAATGCTTGAGAGAATTGCTGTACAAATCATGATGCAGATGATGCTGGTGATGCAGAGCAATGGCATCGCTGGCAAGCTTCAATTCGTTGCGCTGCACATGAATTCAGCACGTCAGACAGTTCTTGATCGAGGCCAGAAGCAACTCCCAGGACCTGCACAGGTCTGAAATGATGCTTGGGGGTTTGGCACACGTAGAACAAATCATGATGCACATGATGCTGGTGATGCAGAGCAATGGCATTGCTAGCAGACTTAAATTTGTCGCACTGCACGGGAATGTCAGCCAACAGTTTCCATCAAGCCCAGAAGCGCACTCCCAAAACACACAGAAGTCTGAAATGAGGCGTGCAGATAATGCTGGTGATGCTGAGTAGGAGGCTACAATTCGTCAGACAGTCGTGATCAAGAACATGATGCAAATGATGCAAATGATGCACATGATACAAATAATGCAAATAATGCAAATAATGCAAATGATGCAAATGATGCAAATGATGCAAATGATGCAACGGATGCAACGGATGCAACTGATGCACATGATGCACATGATGCAAATGATACAAATAATGCAAATAATGCAAATAATGCAAATGATGCAAATGATGCAAATGATGCAAATGATGCAAATGATGCAAATGATGCAAATGATGCAAATGATGCAACGGATGCAACGGATGCAACGGATGCAACGGATGCAGAATGGCAAATCGCGTCAACCAAACCAGACAGTCATGATCGAGGGCAGAAGTACACTCCCAAGAAATGCACAGGTCCGAAATTATGTTTGACAATATTGGCACTTTGACACAACCAGAACAATCATGATGCAAATGATGCTGGTGATGCAGAGCAGAGCAATGGCATCGCTAGCAGACTTAAATTTGTCGCACTGCACGGGAATGTCAGCCAACAGTTTTCATCAAGCCCAGAAGCACGCTCCCAAAACTTGAAGTTGAGGGGATTATCTATCACTTTGGCGCAACCAG